AGGTCTTTGGATCTCATTTGTCAAAAAGATTTCTTAATCGATCTGTGTTATATTTGGGGAGGACTGGTGAATCACACTTCGCCAGCGGGGGTTGGACTCATCAGAATTTTGTGCTACAGTAAAACTGGAAGAAAGAATATTGCTGAATCTAAAGAAGTTATAGAAAATCTCTGTAATGTCTCGAGATCTTCTGATGATTGGCAGTATATGGGCATTGATTGTCTTCTATTCCTTCTCAAAGACCCAGATACGAGGTACAAAGTTCTCGAAACTGCCACCTTGTTCCTTGTTGATTTGGTTGAATTATGCAGCCTTCCAGACAGAATAAATTTGGGCGAAGCTATCACAAGAACGCTCCTTTTAGATTTTAAAGAAACCAAACTGAAATTTAAGAACAAAAAATTTCAAAAAGCACTAGAAGAAATATGGGAACTTAAAGTAGAGAAAAGAAAAAGAGAGAAAATGATGTCTGAAGAAAAAGTGGCAGAAAGAAGGGTTTTTCTGGGTTTGATTAAACAAGAAGCAAAACATTTGTTTTGGTTAGGAGAGGTAGAAGAAGCTGCTCTGAAGTATAGTGAAGCGCTGGAGGTGTGCCCATTAAGGCTGAGAAATGAGAGAATGGTTCTCTATAGCAATAGAGCTCAGTGTCACTTGCTTCTTGGAGACTCAGATGGTGCCATCAGGGACTCAACTCGAGCTCTTTGCCTCTCCACTCCACCAAACTCTCACAGTAAAAGCCTTTGGAGAAGATCACAGGCTTACGACATGAAAGGTTTGGCTAACGAAAGCTTGATGGACTGTATAATGTTCATTAACGGCTGCATCAAATCAGAGACAACCAAAAGGGCGAAGATTCCATACTATGCAGCACGCATGGTTAGCAAGCAGATGGATGCCACGTGGATTTTTGCTAATGCCCGGTCAAAGATATCAAGCAGTCAAGTTAATAAAATACAAGAACCGTATGATGAGTGTAAGAGTAGCAATGACGAGCAACAGTACGATGAAATGATGAGGATGGTAATGGAGAAAAAAAGCTACTTATCTGGTAAGTCTGATCAATTATATTCTAAGGAATCTACAAAAGTATTGAAACTATTTCATTTGAACTTCAATCAGCTTTAATGTCGTTCTTAATTGTTCTCTAACATGTCGTGCAAAAGTTGATCCAACTTTTTGTTATTTATCTATATGCAAACATTGTCAAGTCACTTCGCTTGTCAAATTTTCAGGTCTGTCCACAATTTTTGAAGAACCTATTGATGTAAAAGGAGGAAGTAAGAGAGAGCCAGGAGGGGGAAGAAGAAGAAAGAAAGCTGTTGTTGCTCGATCAATGTAAAGTAAATGGATTTACTTCATGCTAAACCAGAGAAAATAGTGCTATATATGTTTCAGATTCTTATGCAGTGGGTCTGATCTGACGAAGAAGTTTAGAATTTTGGACGGTGTTAATGTAGAAGTTATTAAATGGAATAACATGCATCAAGCCATGATTTTGAACTACTCAGTAGTAGGGTTTCTTCTTTAGAGGGTAGAAGTGGCGTAAATTTATGCATGAATACAAGGGGTTAGTCTTTGAGCAGCATATGATGACCATAATATCTTATAAAATAAAAATAAACTTTGAAAAATATTATCGAAGAAGAAAAGAAAACTAAAGAAGATAAAAGTAGTTTAACTTACATGATCACTTCAGCTTTCTGGTTTCAAAGAACTATTTTCTTTTTTCTCTGGTCTATGTAGTTGTCTATTAATTGATATTCTATACTGTTTTCTTTTTGTTACTTAAACCTTTTTACGTTCACAAATTTTGGTCGTCAAGATGATCGGCGACAATTTTAGAAGTGTATGATCATTAGGATTCAGAAGCCCCCATTAAGAGCAATGTTCTTTTCGAACTTTATTAGATGAATAAAGACTCAATACAAAATCTTTCATAAAAAGTGATGTATCAAAATATGATTGGATAAATTTATATAAAAATCATTCACTTTCATTTAACATACATTTATTAAGTTGATTTTTATATTAATTCATCCAATCATATTTTGATATGTCACTTTGAATAAAAGACTTTGGATGGAATATTTGTAAGTGTTATGTTACTCTTTTATCCATATATGGGCAGTCATATCACTAGGATAGTCATATTTTCTTTCAGTATCATTAATGTTAGTTATTTGATATTACGGAATTAAGTTTGTATTTTATTAAGCTCATAAACCATACTTGTTTCCTTATGCACTTAAGCCTTTGATTTCGTAAAATATTTACTAGAAAATATAATTTGACTTAATCATCATCAATCAATGTGAATTAGTGACTGAAAGATATCTTCCTTATATAAGTTAATAATTATTTTTGCTAAAACTTTCAGATATTAAAGCAACAACTGAAGGAAAGTTCTGTAATATAATATCATAGTCTATGGATGTACACTATATATTTCAATTATTGAATGAGGGTAATCACTTGTAAGAATGAATGGTTTTATCCCGATCTTCTATCCAATGCTTAGCATGTGTGGTGGTGTCCAAATATTCCACTGAAAACTCTTGTTTTCTTTTAACCTTATTCAATAGTAAGATCTGATATGTGCCTATATACTATATAGTACAATGACTATAAAGAAAGTAATTGTTTCCAATCAGTCCACCTTATTTATTCAGCAGTGACCAAAACACTACCCTTCCAGCTCTTATTTAATTAAACGCAAATCTGATCTGCATTTGAATACATCATTTGCTGTTTTTGCGAGTAAACAATCAGAAAATAGATAAATACTTGATAGTCGAAACCACCTCAAATATAGATCGTAGCAGAGTGGCGGAATGAACATGTATCACTCTCACGTGTGATTTCTACTTACTGGTACATGCGTTCGATTGGTGTGAGCTAAAAGTCCACAGCGTTTACTTGAATGCTTAAATTAGAAGGTTAGGTATATTTGCATTGCACCCAATTCACCTACTCAAAATCGGAGCGGCTCCGACTGGAAGAATGTTTAAATAATACAGAGAAGATGAGGTTTAGCATTAGGTTAGGTAGGCTTAAATAATACAACAATGCTACAGATACCGATTTTTTGCATCGAATTTTTATACCAAAGGACGTGGTATCCAATCAGACACGATCATGTTGAAGACAAAACACGTATGAATGGTCGTCAACAATTATGGACACTCATCCATATTTAATGGACGACCGTTCATCATGAATGGACGACCGTCCACCAATCTCATACGAAAATAATAATGGACTCTCGACCATATTATATGGACAAGAGTCTATTTCCTATGGACGGACATCAACCTCGAATGAACGCCCGTGCATATAAAAAAATGGATGCTGTCCATATTATATGGACAGGCATCCATTTTCAATGAGAACAAACCTTAAAATTACTTATTTAAAATGAGTGGGTAACTGGAGCAATTGCCCAATACACTTAAACAAAAAATGCTTAGAAAATAAACACATTGTTGTGACTCCCAAAAAATGGACACCCGATGGGGCATCAAATATGCTCCTGCTATTAAAAAAAATAAATGCTTAGAATTGTGTAAGGTTGGGAGTGAATGGAAATGTGGACCCCACAAACATTTCAATATTGGCCCGTCCATTTCAATATGGATAGCCGTCCATTGTGTATGGATGGCTGTTTATATAAAATGGACGATATGGACAGCCATCCATTATGTATGGACGATCGTCTATTATGTATGGATGACCGTCCATTATGTATGAACGGTCATCCAATATTGTGTTTCAAAATTTTATGAACGGGCGTCTACATGAAATGGATGCATGTTCATATAATATGGACGAGAGTCTATTGTTATTTTTGTAGACGCTCGTCCATAATTGGTGGACAGCCGTTCATTCATGATAAACGATCGTCTATCAAATATGGACAGGCATCCATAATTGTTGAACGACGATTCATTCACGAAAGACGAGTATTGTCTCCAACATGGCTGCATCTAACTGGATACTACGTCCTTCAATACAAAAATTTAGTGCAAAAAATCAATCTCTGTAGCATTATTGTAAATAATAAGGATCCGTATGCAAGAAACGAAGTGTTTGATTGGAAGCATATTTGGAATGTATTGGCGGAGCAATTTTGGATCGAGCTCGAGGAATATGGATTTGAAGAGGGGGAGAGAGTGAGGTTATGAAAAGTAAAGCAGGTGTGTGGGACGAGATTGTGAGAAAGAATAAGCTACAATCCATAAAATTGGAAGAGAGGTTGGTGCGGGATGGTTTAAGGATTTGATAATGAGTGGTATGGCTTTTATGGATAGTATGAATAAGATATGGGTGAGTCCAATAAGAATAAAAGATTGGACCTCATATTTGATTTAGGTTGCAGTTGAGCCGGCCCTATGTTTGAATATTAAAACAAGCTTCACCATTTTCAACGTTGGAGGGATGAAAAAGGTTTAAATCCTATCTCCTCAAAGAAAATAGATAATAATAAGAAGGTTTCTCTAGAAGAAAATCGGCAGCAAATCCACACCAACTACTTTGACCACTAACTTGCGTTAATCTTAATCAAGAAAAAGATGTGATGCAAGCAATGAGCATTTGCAAGTCTGTATCGTTTATATAAATGTAATCGGATGAGATCGTTTTAATTAAATGCCTATGTAAGAGTCAGATATCAATATCATATTAAAATAAAATATCAGGTGAGCCAGTTTCAAAACACTTAAATCTTTATTTATGCTTGTTTTGAACTAAACATGATTTGGACCACTATAAATTCCTAAGTACACATGGTTCTTGTTTATAATTCTTTAATATTTATAAACTAATAAAACTAAGTAGGAGTTAGGAGGTTGCATGTGCTGTTGCCTTTGTATAAATAATCAAATCTTATTATTAATTTCCTCGAATCAGATTTCAATCACACCTGTCAACATATAATTGTTTTACGGCACGTCTTCCGTTAGAGACGCCGTTGCTAGCGTCAAACATTTTTCCTATATAAATAAACAACTAAACTAGTACGAAATTGAACCAAAATTCTCATCAAACTTTCTAAAATAACAATAACGCTCGAGTAAACACTCATCTCTAACCCAAAATGAGCTGGTGGTGGGCTGGTGCTGTTGGCGCTGCTAAGGCAAGATCAACTCTCTCCATATTTATTTGCATCTATACTATATAAATTCTAATTTGTTTATAATTAACATTTTTTTTTTCAATTTTACAGAAGAAATTTGACGAGAACGCGCAACCGCAAAGTTATCAGAACGTGGGACTGATTGTCGGCGTAACCGGAATTGTGGGCAACAGTCTTGCTGAAATTTTGCCACGATCCGATACGCCCGGTGGTCCATGGAAGGTCTACGGTGTAGCCCGACGGCCCAAGCCCAACTGGTACGCCGAACGGGATAGTTCTGTAGAATACATCCAGTGCGACCTATCCAACTGGGAAGATACCCAGGCCAAGCTCTCACAACTCAGTGATGTCACCCACATCTTCTACGTGTCCTGGACCAACCGATCTACTGAAGCCGAAAATTGCGAAATCAACGGCGCCATGTTCCGTAATGTGCTACGGGCTGTGATTCCTAATGCGCCCAATCTCCGACACGTTTGTCTCCAAACGGGAGCAAAACACTACGTGGGTGCTTTCGACTCATTTGGCACGCCACAGTTCCAACCTCATGATACGCCTTTCACGGAGGATTTGCCCAGGCTAAACACTCCAAACTTTTACTACACTCAAGAAGATATTTTGTTCGAAGAAGTTGAAAAGAAAGAAGGCCTGACGTGGTCCGTCCATCGACCACAATTAATATTTGGATTTTCTCCATATAGTTACATGAATATTATAGGTACGCTTTGTGTATATGCAGCCATATGTAAACGCCAAAATATCCCTTTAATATTTCCTGGGACAAAAGATGCTTGGGAGGGTTACTCAATAGCTTCAGATGCAGAACTGATTGCAGAACAACATATTTGGGCGGCGGTGGATCCGTATGCAAGAAATGAAGCGTTTAATTGTAACAATGGAGATATTTTTAAGTGGAAGCATCTTTGGAAGGTGTTGGCGGAGGAATTTGGAATAGAGGAATATGGATTTCCGGAGGGGGATAGAGTGAGTTTAGTGGAGTTTATGAAAGGCAAAGAAGGTGTATGGGAGGAGATTGTGAAAGAGAATCAGCTACAGCCCACGAAATTGGAGGAGGTTGGTGCGGGATGGTTCACTGATATAATTTTGAGTGGTGCGGCTTTTCTGGATAGTATGAATAAGAGTAAGGAGCATGGATTCTTTGGCTTTAGGAATTCTAAGAATTCATTTATTACCTGGATTGATAAAATGAAAGCTTATAAGGTCGTGCCTTGAATATTAATTTTGTGTATAATAATACCACAATGGCTAAGTTTATGTATTATTGATGTGCCAAGTTGATTGAATGTTGCAATAAGTTATATAATTTCTCAATTTATTTACATATGATTTGGAATACTCTTCCTAGATAAGGTTTTTTGTTTAGATAAAATGTTTTGCCAAAGTATGGTATCGGCACTATTATTGTTCTGTTGTATAAGCAGTTGTTATCAATCTGGAGAAAGTATATCAGCACTGAAGGTGGCGTTAAAGATCCAATAGGCAACTGTATTGAATCACAGTTGAGTCTTTGACAAATTCTCATTTAAAATAGGAAACTCTCGATGGAATTTATTTATATACACCTGAATAAAATAAACGATGCCCCTGCATTCATATTAATTGTATGCAAATGCAGTGAATTCAGGTCAAGTTTATGGCCACTAAAACTGGTTGAACTGATTTACATTAATCAATTTCAGGTCTCTAGAAACACCAAGAACTTCAAGCCTAATCCAAAATATGTTTTATAAATGGTACCAAGGGAATTAAGTCCAATGTTTTTGGGCCGACTATTGGGTTTTAAGACCTCAACCAGAAAAGCAATTTTTTGAAGCAGTTGTTTATCATGACAAAAGCACTAACAATTGATATTGAACCTACTGATTGCAAAATATAATCAAAATTCAATAGCTTTGGAAACAACCAATTCTGCAACAACATATTGGCTGCAAATTGTTCATATGCTTATTCATTACAACCACCAAAAGAAAAAAGAACAAGCTGCATTTCATTACAAATACACCTCAGAGTTCCACTACTCTAGTGCTCAAGGAACAATCTTGTAACCCTTGACCTTATCAATCCAAGTAAGGAAGGAATTCTTGGAATTCCTAAAACCCAAGAAACCATGCTCTTTACTCTTATTCATGCAAGCCAATTGAGCCTCCCCACTTAGCATAAGATCCACAAACCACCATCCACTAACCTCCTCCAACTTTGTATGCTGCAGTTGATTTTCATTCACTATCTCCTCCCACACAGCTTCTTTACCTTTCATAATTTCCTCCAACTTCACTCTCTCACCTTCTTCAAACCCATATTCCTCTATTCCAAACTGCTCCGCCAACACCTTCCATAAATGCTTCCACTTAAATACATCTCCATTGTTACAATTAAACACTTCGTTTCTTGCATACGGATCCACTGCAGCCCAAATTTGATGCTCTGCAATCAGATCCGCATCTGAAGCAATCGAATAACACTCCCATGCCGCTTTAGTCCCAGGAAATCTTAATGGAACCCCTTCGTGTTTACATATGGCTGCGTATACACATAAACTGCCTATAATATTCATCAAGCTATAAGGGGAAAATCCAAATATCACGTCAGGTCGGTGAACCGACCACGTCAAGTCCTCTTTTTTTTCTACTTCTTCGAACAATATATCTTCCTGAGTATAGTAAAAATTCGGTACGTCTAACCTGGGCAAATCCTCCGTGAAAGGTGGATCGTGAGGCTCCACCTTTCCATACGCCTCGAAAGGACCCTTATAGTGTTTTGTGCCGGTTTGCAGACAGATGTGACGGAGATTAGGAGCGTTTGGGATTATGGCGTCGAGAACGTTACGGAACATGGAGCCGTTGACTGCGCAATTCTCGGCTTCAGAAGATCGGTTCGTCCACGAGACATAGAATATGTGGGTGACATCAGTGAGCTCTGAGAGCTTGGTTCGGGTGTCTTCCGGGTCGGATATATCGCATTGAATATATTCGACCGCGTGGTCAGCGTTCCAGTTGGGCCTGGGCCGTCGGGCTACTCCGTAGACCTTCCATGGACCACCGGGCGTATCAGAAAGTGGCAAGATCTCAGCAAGACTGTTGCCGACAATTCCGGTGACGCCCACTATGAGGCCCACGCTCTGGAAGCTTCGTGGCGGTTCATCTTCATCGAATTTCTTCTGCAAAATTGAAAACAAAGAGTGTCAATCATAAAGAAACAAGTAAGAATTGATTAAGTTTGTATGAAGAGAGTGGTTGCCTTAGCAGCGCCGATAGCACCAGCCCACCACCAGCTCATTATGATCAGATTAGAGAATTGGGTAGAATAGATGGTAACAAGTAACAACTGGTTAAATGATAAATCTTTTTGGTGGATGGGAGCTAACAGTCTGTGGTGATTACAATTGACAAGGTCCGTTCAATTACGTACTGGTTTTTCTGAGAATGAAATGAGAAACACAGAGTGACAGATGGATATGGGATCGTAAGCGACACCTGATGAATTATCTGGAATCTCCAGGGTGTTATTGTCTTTTTAGATGATGATAAATGACACCACGCCACTTATAATTGTTCTCATCTTCAACAAACACCGGACTAGTAGGTGAAACACTGATTTATATGAATACCATCATCAGTCTCACCACGTCAATCATGTGATATAATTACATCTTCATCGTTATTTTAATGCCACCTAATAATTTAAAGAAAATAACCATTTACGGTTACATCTTTAACAAAATCAACCAATTTTGGTTTGGGTCTCTGCATGAATTATAACCACATAGTAAAAGATTAATTACGAAATTCTATTTAAAGATCTTAATTTGTGCATTAATCATTTATTAACTGTACGCTAAATGAAATATTTTCAATTTTTATTAAACATGTGTATAACATGAAACAATTATTTATATATTGATGCTTGATTTTTAACATCAATGACTCGCACGTATAAAATGGTAAACGGACTAAAAAATTACACGTGATATGAAAATGTGCAATGAAAGAATAAATGAGAAGCGGTTTTAAGAGTAGTTCAGATACTCAAAAGCGAATCATACATCTATTATGATTGTATTAATAGATGATCACAGTCAGGTCGCGTACAGCGAGCTGAATTACAATCTAGTGAGAATTTAAATGTAGAGAGAGAGAGAGTCTGCTTTTGAAGACTAAAGATGAGTCAATCTCGTAGATGAGATAGGAGTCATCTATTTATAGTTGGGGAATTCAAGTTAGTAATCGTGATTCTATAATCGGGCAAGTGTAGTATAATTCCTAACCCGCTTCCCATTGGCTGTCTGCGTGGAAAACATCCTTAAATCGCATAGGGTTTGGGCAGGTGAACAATCCCTAACCACTCACAAGCTTGGTTTTCACCTACCACACTAACGATAGTCATACCTTTTCTATCTTTGCACGACGTGACAATGTCTAGAAGGCACAAAACCTTATTGAACTCTGATTGACTCTTGTTGATGTAAGCTTATGTTAGTCTTGATTTTTTAAGCATAACAATATGTTATATATTATAGTTATCTTATAAAGTAAGTATATATCAATTTCAATAACATGAGTAATTGATTTACGTGATCAATAGCACAAATTAAGCGTATTAATTTTTTCTATTATATTAATATACTCTATTTTATAAAGACAAAAATGATTGTTTTCTAAGTTTTAAATCAATTGAAAATAAAATTTGAGGCAAGAACATTACTCTCCTTTTTATTGTTTTCAAAAAGAAGGAAAATTAGTAAACAAAAAGTCCGACACCTAATCGGTCAGGTCTATGAGTCCAGAGATATCATTCACCATGTTTAATTCTGCTCTCAGTCGGGGATAACTCTTCTTAAAACTATCAAAATAGTGCACGGCTAACAGACGTTAGATCCATTTAACAGAGTAACGGCATTTGTGTCCATTTGATTACTTAATCGACACAAACCCAATTTTTCTTTTCACAACCAGAGAGAATACCCAAGGCCGCCACTACTTATCACTTGCTATATCTCCAAATTCCCAAGCCTCCACCTTCTATTTGCAAGTCTTTCTTTTTCTCTTCTCGTACACATTTATGTTCATAAATTTCCTATTTGCTTTTTCTCTTCTCTTTCACATGTTATGTTTGTGAATTTCTTATTTAATTGTTCTCGAGAATAATTGCCATGATAACGATGCTTGTTTAAAACTAATGAATTTTTTAAAATGGGGTTGAGTTCTGTTATGTTTATTGTGAATAATGCTTTGAGCATGAGCTTGAGTCTTGTTGAATTGGGTTGATGCATCCAAGGTGTTTGAAGAGAGTTGTGGGTCGATTTTGGCGAATTGGTTTGTGCATTAGAAGTGTTTGAAGAAAGTTATTGGTTGATTGATAAAACTTATCTTGGTTTTGCGTTGTCAAACCAACTTATTCTACGCTTAAGGGTGTTTTTGTCTTTACGTTAAATATTATGTAGTAATAACGGAATCCTAAATCCTCTGTTAACTAAAAGGATGAATTTACTAGTTATTGAAAAAAACGACCAGATTATTTTTCATCCTTCCCCTTTTGCTTTGTTGCAAGACGAAATTGCATAGTTTGTAATTCAGTTTTCTTTCACGCCTCTTGCAGACTTGTAAGTATCACTAATATATGCTAGTTTGTTTGTTTGTCTGACAATTTACAACTCTCTTTTCTAGTTCTTCTGTTTTCGGATTTGGTTGCTTATAATAACTTCTTTGGCAGCAAAAATAATGGTGCTTACAAACTTCGATGGAGTTGGTGTTGGATTCGGTATGCTTATTAGGATTTATTGTAAACATTAATCGTAAAATTATGTAGAAACAACCTATCGAGTGTGCTTATTTTTCAGGTTTCGGCGTGGGTTGCGGGTTCGGTGTAGGCTGGGGTTTTGGAGGTCTGTTTCATATCAATTAACTGTTAATTCGTGATGTTGTTAAGGTTTCTTCACATTTGGATTTGCAATTTGTTGCATGTTCCTGTTTTTTTTGCAATATTTTCAGTAACTTTTAAAAGTTAACAACCTCAAATTTTAGAAGAATATCATATATATATATATATAGATTGTATGCGTTTGGGTGTCTGGAGATTTAAGGGGAAGTAAAACGGAAACAAACAAAAGGGACTCGGTCTTCCTTTCGTATGTTGTGTCAATGAAGGAAGTGGGAACATGATGATTATCATTTTCCCATCCGTTAGGTCAATTGGTTGGAACTTAGAAGGAAAAGAGAAGATGATTATCACTTTTTAACTGTTTAGTATTCTTTAATGAGAGAAGTGATTATATGCTAATTTAATTGCTGTATACTGATATGTTGAAGTTTTATATATGTATTCATATATGTCATTATTATGAAGGATATGGGTAAAATATGAAATTATTCTTTATTCTCCAATTAATTCTCTTTCTACTTGTTTAGAGAAGGAATAGCTTTGGTGGTTTGAAGTTTTTGTACTTTTTTCTTCACCCTTTCCTTGCATAATCTCATTCCAACCAAACAGGGGTATGGCCTTCGTTTATCCTATTTCTTTCTACCACAAAGTATAAATGACTGTAAAAGGTTTGTGCTTAAATAGTTGTAGAATATTGTATGTGGTCCTTTTTTTCACACAGCAAACTATGCGATACAAAACCCAATTAAAACAGTGTTGCCTTCTTGGAAATTTATTACTTTGTCATCTAATATACAAAAGTTCTGAAGATTGATATTTCAAACTGTCTATTGAAGGCATCTAAACCCTGTTAGTTTGTTTTGGGAAGAGTCGTAGCATGTCAGAATTTGGGGACGTGTAAAAATTAATAACTGAATCCTTTTCCACCATATATCTAGTGCCAATGATGAGCCAGGATTTTAAATTCTCCATTTTCTTTTATAGGGAACAAGTAATTTATATTTTACTTGGAAAGTGCTTTTGTTGTTGGGCTTTTCATGTTTTTCTTTGACACAATTCTATAATCTCATAGTTATGTAATTCGGCTAAAATCATGGCTCCTGTCCACTGAGTACAAAAACGTGAACAACCTTCGACTTTCTATTTTGTGATTTGATAAATTCATGAAAATCATGTATCGCATAATTTTTGGTGTTCTCTTAGTTATCGCATCATATGTTATATAATGTATTTGATGGTTGTTCTTTCTTAAACTTATTGTTGTTAAAGATTCTAATTACAATAAGTTCATATTCCGCTTCCAAGCATCACATTTGCTAATATGTTATGCTTCCTTTTCACAGGCATGCCATTAAATATGTTGGGCCTTGGTGCAGGTATAATATGAATGTTTTCTTCTTTTTGAGAAAATTTCCTGTTAATTTATCGTGCTTATCTCTGTTTAATTGATTTTATGATATCTGCATATAATCCATCTTGTTGGACACGTTAGTAACATTACAATTTGGTTTTGAAGGTGGGGGCTGTGGGGTTGGCTTAGGCCTTGGTTGGGGTTTTGGCACTGCTTTCGGGAGTCAGTATCGATCATCAAGGGTCACTTTCCAGGGCTTGGAATTTGGGAGAAATGAGCAGAGAGATGGAAAGGAATTTAAAGATATATCAGAAAGCAAGCATAAAGTACATAATTCACAATAACTTTTAATCTTATGAAGGATGCTTCATAGAGCAAACAAAGAGTTCTGGTTGGAGAGACGTGAAAGCATATTTTTGTGTATTTAGGGTTCAGTTTGTCGCTTAGTCTTGATTGTGGGAAGAAGACCATATACTTATTGGCTTTTGTATGTCTACGGTACATACTGTTTAGAATCCTATCATTCTGGTGAAAGATAAGGATGTTTTTTTGGTAAATTTTATAAATAAGCCGGCCTGGAGGTGGAAGGATAGCTATTCATGTCTTTGGAATCATGTTTATATCTATCCCTTGGTTTATAATTTACATATCTTCCCTTTGATCCTGGGTTCTGTTTTTTATGTTTGACAAACTGAAAATTGTTTGTTTTAGAAAGTTGTGTTCTGATATGTAAGTTTACTTGTGACTGCGCCATTTTTGACCTCTTCGTTGCGTACCTTTATGAAACTTCGTAGACCAATTTATAATTTGCAAAGTGAAACATTTTTTCAGTGTCTCCTCCGTAAACTGTATTTTTTAAATTTTGATGACATAAAAACCCAAACAAGTCTATCAGTTGTGATTAGCCCAGCCACTTCAACAATATTGAGATCAAATACACTTTTAAAGATTATTATGACCTGCGAATCATGAAAGCAACAGAATTTCAAAATTTGCTTACCACTTATCAGGCTGGCTAGCTCCGGATGTTGTTTGTCAGCTTGAAAATTTTCTTAATCTTTCCGCAGGACAACTGTTAAGGTTAAGCTACTCTTGTTTAAGTTAATGTTTCCTCCTTAAAGAAAAAAAAATCTGTTGGTTTGAAAATTCTTCTAAGTGAGATGTATCTAATAAATGAATTCATCCTGGTTCCCTTTTTTTCTAGCAACCAATATAGTATCTTAAATCTTAAGTCTACTACATTAGACATTGCTGTTAATAAGTTACTAATTAAAGAAAATAAACATGTCACTCTTCTCATAATCTCTGCTCTTAAAATAAGAACGTAATTAAATTCTAAATGTTTTAATGTCAATAATTTTATATACCAAATTCAGGTAAGTGTCCCTTTGTCTCATTCAAGTGTAATGGTAGAGCAGGGATTAAGAAGGCTAATTCGTATTCTATGGTCACCCATAGGTCAAACTCAAAGAAAGAGGAGGACCAAATTTTGTTGGTCCTCACGTGCCTCACCTTCCTCTTCCTCATGAACGGTGGTAGTTGGCGTGCTGAAAAGTGAAAACCCAACCATCTCTTCAGCACCCAACTTTTATCACTTAAATTTGCTCGCTCACTCGTAGCACAAACACCAGCACGAAGTCCCCGCTAATCCCAAGAAAACATGGCAGAAAACAAAATTTTCACGCTTTCACAGGTTGCCCAGCACAATTCAAAGAAAGATTGCTGGTTTGTCATCAATGGCAGAGTAATTCCATCTCTCTTTCTGTACACACATTATGAAACTGGATTTGTTTTTGGGTAGATAATGAACTAACATGGATGGAAATGTTTGAATAGGTACTGAACGTGACAAAGTTCCTCGCAGAACACCCAGGTGGAGAAGAGGTGCTGATAGAGTCGGCAGGGAAAGACGCAACGAAGCAATTTGAGGATATCGGACACAGCAAGGCGGCTCAGACCATGCTCCTCAAATATCAGGTGGGTGTTCTCCAAGGTTACACCATTAAAGACACTCCTTCCTTCCAGGAAACTAAAAAGAAAGAAATGGAAGCTTATGTCATCAAGAACGAAGGAAAACTTAAATCCGCCACTCTTTTTGAGTTCTTTGTGCCGCTTTTGGTTGCTGGTTCCTACTTCGCTTACAGATTTCTTGCCGGACCTGATGACATCGTCTATTAGACCAATTATCCTTTTCATTATGTATTTGTATTTTCCTTGCCAGACCTGATGACATCGTCTATTAAACCAATTATCATTTGCATTATGTACTTGTATTTTCCTCGTGAAATAATTCCAGTAATCGGCACAAGCTAAGCCACCCTAACCATGTTATCGCATCTGTTAAACTACTTTGCTTTTAGCTAACCGGGGATTGTTAACTCAATTTTTATAATTATGCACACAATAGTTAATTATTTATTTTAAGAACTCCAATTCAGGATGGTTAGAGAAAAGGTTCAAGAAAACATTGACTAATTGTAACAGTTTCATCAATCGAACGGCTGTACTTGGAGGTCCACAATAATACCGTATAATAGACTCGTATAAGAAAGGACCATGTGTCGTTAATCACTGAAACAACCCACCGTATTTGTAATTTGGGGTGTGATTTCAGGTATTTCTCATTTCCAATTTTACAGTGCGCTTCTTAGAAAGTTGAAAAAGAACAAAAAATGGAAACGACAAATGTGAAGTGCTGAGAAACTTCAAACGCTATATGGATCATAGTTACAAGAATGAAAAAGAATAAAGAAAATCAGCTCATGTTATATTACAGGAACCACAGTTACCGATCTTCAATTAAAACCATGGTTCCACATTCTCAGCCATTCTTCCGGCTCTTAGAACAATACAACAGAATTTACCCTCCATCCAAAAATCAGACTTGGAAGGAAAAGAAATCAGTTGGTGAATATAGAAAGATGAGAAAACGGTGGGTACAGGGATTGGGGTGAGGAAGTGTTTCAAGGGTGTTGCCTGTTGGTGCACTACAAAGAAAAGAATCACCAAACCCAAACACTAACTTAGAAAATGCCTACCATTCTATTTCTAGCTAGTAAGAATGTGCCCGTATTCTTCAGACACCCTCCACCCACACACTGCTGTCGGATATAGAATATGCTGGGGATATAGAATATGCTGGATGAAGATTCTACATTTCCTTTTCAAACGCAGAATGCCAATAGGACTGCAGACAAGAAATCAGAAATCAAAAACCAGAAATCTGGTGCCAAATTCTAAAATAATAAGAAATCTACAATCTGAGGTATATGAATAATTTTCCAGCTTATACAATCTCAACAGATTTTAAATCATACACAAAATTATGACTCCAGGTCCACTTGACATAGGTCCAAACATTTTAAAAGTTAATACCACCATTTTTACAAGAAAAGAACCAAGAATCAACTCATCTTCCACCTAATTTCCAAGCTTTACATTTTTAACCTTTAACTACTTTGAACTGCAAACTATCATTAGTAAAAACTGACACAACTCAAGTACTTTAAGAAATGGAGATGGAGCATCCAACTCCAAATTATTTGAAACAATGATATTAATATCTATGTCTACTAGATTCTTAAAACGATATGCAGTTACATAGATACTAATGTGTGCTTATGTTCTGGGAAAAAGAAACCAAAACGCTACGAATTTAGAAAGCATCAGACACCATAATGACTAAAAATGGTAACAAGAAACACCAAGATGAATGGCAAACCTTCCCAGTGCTGGTGAAATCAATAAAAAATCCGTAAATGAAAATGTAATGCAAAATTCTTTTGATGTATACTTTCTATTCCAAAATATGCAGACAAGGCTGCTGTGAGCCTGGTGCTACCCAACAGCTCCATGGAGCCCCCAATTCTGCATCAGCAATTAGAGGTTTGTATGTGTTAGCTGCCACTGAAGGTGGACAGAGATACAAATTGACATCCATTGGGTTCATTACACCAAAAGTTTAAAAATTCAAATTGAAGCAAAAGCTTCTCAGACAACAACAGACACTCACAACCACACTTAACAAAAGAATGCTGACATTTACATGGTGCGTCTTGATTAGCACAATGCTTAAAAAATGGATACAAATCCCACTCATATAGTTGATACAGACAATTCCTACCTAATGCATGCATGTATGATCTAAACTGATAAGCAAATATGAACTTTCAATAAGCAAACAAAACAGGACAAACTTTAGGCAAGCTCACCAATCAGGCAAAGCAGAAGAACAATCCAAAATGCCACTTGAACAGGCCGACAATATTGCATTTGGTATTGAGACCTTTGAAGTTGTCTCTGAATAGCTCCATACCAGCCATAAAGTTGCTTATCTTAACAATCGTCGCAACTGTCCAGGCAACTCTTACTCTTTTCATAGCATGCATTTATACCCTATCAGAAAATTTGAGAGAAGTTGCAATCATAAATGGCACAAAAGAGAGTCTGATAATGAAGCAAAATTCTAGAAAATTACAATGCAATAGCAGGATACTGTGTACTCACTCTGGTCAACTGAGAAGCTTTCAATAATTCAGTATCAGCTTCTTGGAAACGATCTACTGCTTTCCACTTCCTAATTCCGTTCTTTGACAACTTCAATTTGGCCACAGATTCCATGGAATTAAGGAACCCTGAAACACTGGGTATCTTTCGTGGGGGTAAAGGAGGCTGCCCTTTGGAAGAATTTTGTTGGCAACCATCATCAGTAATTGCTATCTTCCAAGCACCAATGTCAGCACAAGCACTGGCTGTTCTCCTATGCCCATGTGGGTTCTCCTTCCTACCCTCCAAGGAGCCCCACTCAACAGATTGACCAGAATTTTTGGAATAATCAAGCACTGACTCTTTAACTGTAACTAATGGTACTTCATTTTCCTTCACCTGGTTATTTACAAGAGCTTTGTCATCAGACATGGATGGCCCTGACAAAAACAATGCAAGTTCATTACACTCGCCTTCATCCAAGCGCACCCACGGCAGTGATGCCTTGCCTTCTGAACGAGCTGAATCCTCTAACAACATCTCGATTTTCACAATTTGGTCCTCCATCGCAATTATAAATTGTCTATGCCTATCTCTTGCATCATCGATTGAGCTTTTGACGTAAGTTGATTTGACAGCCCTTGCAAACTCCTCTAACTGCATTTGCACCCAAAATCAATTAATATTGACTGAATATTGCCACAACCATAATTAATTAATATTATAATATGATTAACAATCTGCTCACAACTGCACATAAATAACAAAGAGTGGAGAGAGAAATGACCTGCCATTTGGTTGTGCCAAGGGAAGTACGTAGGTCCCTAAGGAGTTCCTCAGAATCCCACACACTAGAAGCATCTTTACTTGCATGAATCCATGTTCTATACATCGACTCCATCCTTCACACCGTTAAAAAAAATATTAAAAAAAAAAAAAAAAAAAGAAGAAGAAGAAGAACTATGTTAACCCTTAAATACCAATTTAAATCATACTGAATATCAAAACCCTGATTGTACCACTAGATCGCAAACAAAATGCACATTAAAACAAAGTTAAAACAAAATGCACATTGAAACAAAGTTAACAATGCATCTGAATCTTAAATGTTCCATAATTTGAGCAAATCCAGCCCCATCCAACAGGCAACATCTTTAATAACCAAATTCTCTGGAATTAAAAGCCAATCCTAATTGCTCATCAAAATCACAAGGCAAAGCACATGAATCGTTGAGATATAAAATTACATAATGCATTAAAAGTAGATAGAAAAATCAAACGAGACAAAACAAATGATGCTACCTGTCAGCCGATTCCTGAACTTCCTCGGCCGCAGGAAAAAAGGGATCCTTCTCCCACCGGTCAAAACTCGAAGCCATTTCAAAACTCTCCCTCCACTTAATTGATTAACAATAAATTATCAATTTCCACGAAAGTAAAAGAAAAAAGCAAAACCCAGCCGATAGAATCTACGTTTTAATCGATTAGCAAATTGAGCCACAATAATGATACTGCAGACAGATAGATTATTAGATTGTGGTAATCTATCATTTGAAAGATAATGGTAAAAGAGAAAATGCGTATAAAACGCGCTTCTTTTGCAGGTGGAGTGAAATAATGTCTCGTGAAGAGAACGGGTCAAGGCAGCCACATGATTAAATAAAGTGGCATCGTCAGTGCAGATTATATTGAGTTATCACGAGGTCAATGAAAGATCCTCGAAGGAGTACATTCAACGGCAGCGTTTAGTATCGTTGTGTATGCCAACATGAGACAGAAGTGTGGTCAAAAGACTCAAAACTTCGTGTAGAGATTTGAATTTTTTAACTTTGGCTTATTTGCTAGAGCGAACGACTTTTTCACACCCCAGGTTTGCCTTAATGATTTCCACCCAAAAAAATTTCAAAATACTACTTTTCATCCAAAGTTAATATTATGTTATTATCCAAAATTGATTCCGACCATTTCTAATAACAAAAATGATCTCCTCATCACTATTTAAACCTTTGGTCTCCTCTCTATAAAATCTCTCTCATTTTGATACCTGATATCTCGTCCATTGCCGACCACTGCAAAGTTAGGGTTTCTTGATCTTAGTTGGCTGATTCTGATTATGAATATTCAATCAATCACCACTATTTGATCCACCGACCTTTATTCTACAAAATCCCTCTTAGCTTAGCTTTTGGTAACTCACCGAACCCCGGTTGAAAAAATAAAGTGTATTTTGAGTATTAGCGGAATATAAACTTTGAGTGGAGAAGTGATATTTTGAAACTTTTTAGATAGGAAAGTGTCATTAAAGCAAACCTTAAGTGGGAAAAAGCCGTTTACTCTTATATTTGCTATCTTCAAATGTGATTGATTTTTATGGGTAGATACTCTTTTAACTTATAATGATATTTTATTTCCTTCTTGTGTGATACAGCATATGGTTTATTGAAATGAGGATGGTGCAAAACCGAGTACCCGCTCTGGTTTTGACCAAAAATCGAGTACCCCTAAAAAGGTACCCGCAAACTGAACCGGTTTTTAGAATACCCGGTTTTGCGGGTACCTGAAAATTCCGGTCACAAACCGAGTATCAGAATTTGATTAAAATTACACAGCATAATTATACCAGCTTTGAAATTCATGTGTGTCAATCTTATTCGTTCTTAGTCACAATGGATTAGAATGCAACTTCTGATTATTACATTGTGGCTAGTGCTAGATTTGTGAATGAATCAGTGTAGTATCATTAGTTGTCCACAACATCAACTTTTAATTTAATGCCTTAAATAATAAATACTTAAGATTTAATATACACCAAACATCAAATGTAATACTACAACAAACATACTTAAGATTTAATATAATTAAGAAATGAAAAATGTCTTTTACATTTAATCGACCAAACATAATACTGCAGAAACAAATACTTGTAGAAAATGGCAAAATGCCCTAGAATTACACCAGCAAAAAGCAAAATTATACAGCAGTACCGTAGAGCTGGCCAAGAGAAATTGCAAGTTGAAGTATGTAGCTGTATGACTTTCCTTTAGCTATAGCAATCCTGCAGAAATCAGTTACCATTAGGACCATCATTCGTATGGAGTTTCAGGAAATAAAATCTGATTTTAGACTAGCGAAATAGAATATGAAATTATCATTTTGTGAAGTGAAGTGAAGTTTTACACTGCTAGAAGACTAGCAGGGCCCTCCAGAACTGCAGTTAGTCCTTCAACGGCAACAACTCCTGCATCTCTTGCCGCATATCTTGAATCACCTTTGTTGTATTCTTTCCCTGGCAACTTTCATATATGAGTATCATCCACTAAATCACCCACACAACCCAAACCCCAACAATATCACAAAATTCACAGCCACCACAACCAACTTCAATCACAAAATTTATCAATATAGCCACACTAACTCTAACACTTCAGTCTTATAAGGGCTCGATTTATTAATTTAACCCCTAGTTCACTAACAAACCCATTGTCTCCAAGTGAAGATGACATAAAATGACTGAAAATATTTACCTCGAAGATGGAAACTGAAAATCAAGCCAACGGCGGCATTGCAGAAAGGTGATGGAATTGGAGCAAAGTGAAGCCCAATAATTTGCAATCTCAAGAAGAAAATTTCAGTGGATTAGTGGAGAATTTTTAGACTTTAGTGGAGAGTGGAGACTATAAATGCAGACTGGAGAATTTGAGAGTGAGAGAGATTAGTTTAAGTGCGGCTGTGCGCCTGTGTGCGGGACTTGAGTACTTGACGCAGCGACGGGCTAAACTTTTAGGGCATAAGGGATTTGGGGCTTTTGCAGTTTTGCCTTTGAAAATTGAACGTCTGCGTTTTTTTTTTTTTGTTTTTTTTTTAATAAAACCGGTTTTCGGGTACCCGGTTATCTTAAAGTAAATAACCGATACCCAAACCAAAAATTTGGATATCAAGTTATAATTACTCGAAACCGACCCGAATTTTTGGGTACCTGATTTTCCAGGTTCGGTTCGGTTCGGTTAACGGGGTTTTTTGCACAACCCTCAATTAACTTAAATTGGTTTTGTTTGTAAGCATGTAATTCTCAACAATCTATTAAACATTTCTGAAAAAACAAGGCTCCGTTTGTTTCGTTTTTGGGAATATTATTATTAGTATTCCTAAAAAAGTTAAACAGTAAAATTTTAAAAACTCACAATATTATTCAACTTTTTTTAAACCCCTTAAATTTGTTAATTTAATTAAATACCGCTAAATATTTTTTTTGAAATTGCAAAAACACCCCTAAACCCACATTATACCAGATTCCGGCCACCACTGCTGGAAGTTGGTCGGAATATTATATAATGGCGCACTATCGGCTGAATCTGGCCGGTAGTGCGCCGATCTAGCATTTTCCAACCAGATCCACGGTGGATTTGGCCGGAAAAGGCCAGATCTAAGGCCAAAGATCTGACGGCCAAATCTTTGGCCGTAACCAGTCGTCAACGATGGCCAACATACGGTCGTCGTTGACCATCAACGACGGCCGTATCTTTGGCCATCGTTGACGAGTAAATGCGGTCAGATCTGGCCTTTAATGTCCAGATCTAGCCGTAGATCTGACTTTTGCCGGCTAGATCCACCTTGGATCTGGCTGGCAAAGGCCATATCGACGCACGATCGACAAGATCCAATCGGTCATGCTCCGATACGGCGACTCCGGCCACCCTCCGGCAGTGGTGGTAGGCTGTGATTATTCAATGGGTGGATTGGGGGTGTTTTTGTTAACTTTTAAAGTTTTATTATAGGGGTGTTTAGTAAATAAACAAACATAAGGGATATTTTTATTAATTTCCAAATCCTACATCGTAATACCCGTCCAATTCAACTTTTTTTAACTTTTTTAAAAAAACTTTTCTAAAAAATATAAAAAAGTGAACCAAACGGAGCCCAAACGTTTGTAGTTGAGATAGAAGTAGATTTAGTATAGTTGTTTACATTTATTTAAAACTGTTACAAACAGAGAACTGATTGTAATTTTCGTATGTATTGCATTGACAAATTATACATCAATAATAGGAAAATAAAGAACTAATCTAGGAATAAATAATCTAATTTAGGAAATAAAAAATCTAACTTCCTATTTTATAGATTTGTTCCTATTATGTATTGATTACAATCCTAATATCCTATTATAGATTTATTCACTTAATCATGCAATATCTGTAAGATTTTGCATGATTATCTACAACAATCTACAACACTCCCCCTCAAGATGGAGATAGATGTTAATCATGCCCAGCTTGTACATATAATCAATCCGAACCCCATCAAAGCTTTAGTGAAAACATATCCTAGTTGCTCTCCAGTCTTCACATATCCTCTAGAAATTAAACCTTGCTGTATTTCTACGAATGAAATGACAGTCAATTTCAATGTGCTGTTCGTTCATGAAAACGGGACTAGAAGCAATATGCAGAGCGGCTTGGTTATCACACCACAATTTTGCTGGCAAAGAGGCCATAAGACCAACTTCAGTCAAAAACTGATATATCCATATTACGTCACACACAGACTGGGCCATAGCCCTATATTCCGATTCTGCACTAGATCGGGAACAACAGTTTGCTTCTTACTTTTCCATGAGACCAAATTTCCACCAATAAAAACACGGTAGCCCGTAGTGGATCTCCTATCTATCTTTGGAACCCACCCAATCTGCATAGAGAGAGCACTCAATATTATATGTCCATGATTTTCGTACAAAATACCACGTCCTGGAGCTCCTTTAGAGTAACACAGAATCTGTTCTAACGCTGCCCAATGATCAACAGTAGGAGAAGACATGAATTGACTTACTACACCTAACAGAGTACGCAATTCAGGCGAGTGAGTGTAGATAGTTCAACTTTCCAACCAGTCTTCTATATCTCTTAGGATCTTCAAATAGTTTACCATCTTTTGTAAGTTGCAAATTAGGAAACATTGGCGTACTACATGGTTAGCACACAATTTTCCTGTCTCAGTTAATAAGTCAAGTACATATTTCCTCTGAGAGAGGAAGATGCCTTTCTTGCTCCTTGTTACCTCAACCCTAAGAAATACTTCAAAACTCCTAAATCTTTTGTATGAAACTGAGTGTGAAGAAATGACATAAGTAATGCAATCCTGTAGTGTCACTCCCAGTGATGATAATGTCGTCAACATATACAACAAGAAGAATAATGCCAACTGCCGATTGTTTTTAAAAGACTGAGTGATCAGACTTGCCTTTGTCATTCCGAACTTTGCAACTACCTCACTGAACTTCCAAACCAAGCACGTGGACTCTGTTTAAACCATACAATGATTTGCGAAGATGCAAACTTTCCATACTCCCCCTGAGCAACAAATCCAGGTGGTTGCTCCATATAGACTTCTTCATGAAGGTCACCATGTAAAAAAGCATTTTTTATGTCCAACTGATGTAATGGCCAAGAATGAGTAGCCGCCGCATAGAGATAAATAAGCGAACAGAAGTCAATTTAGCCACAGGAGAAAAAAGTGTTAGATAACCATCCATAAGTTTGAGCATAGCTTTAGCTACAAGACGAGCTTTAAGCCGAGCCACTGACCCATCAGGATTTACTTTAACAGCAAACACCCATTTGCATCCAATAGGCTTCTTATAGAGTAAGTCAACAAGTTCCAAGTACCATTAACATCTAAAGCAGTCATCTCTTCTATCATAGCATCACGCCAACCAGGATAAGATTAGGCTTCATGGATAGTTGCAGGAAGGGAGACAGAGTCTAGTGATGCACAAAAGAACAAGAAGAGATGATAGGTGATCATAAGAAACAAATGAAGATATAGGATAAGTACACTGACGTTTACCTTTCCGAAGAGCAATAGGAAGATCACAGATCACTCAAGGTTGGATCCAACAACGAAGAGTCTTGGGTAGGACATGAAGTCTGAGTGTCTTCTTGACGAGGAACACAAGTATCCGATCACTGAGGACTGGGTCTAACGATGAAGGGACTGGTACAAGAGGTTCATGTCGACGAGAATAGACAATGCGAATTGGAGGTAGTGGACGGACAAGTGGTGGTGGGAAGGAGGAATAGTAGTGGGGAAGACTCAGGCGTGGACGTGACAGTATAGATTAGTAAGTTATCGTCCTCCCCTGACGTGTATAGGTAGACGAAGTGGGAAAAGAGGGTGTTCTAAGAAAGTAACAATCAGGTGACACCAGATATCTATTAAGACTAGGACAAAACATCGATATCCCTTTTTAAGAAGAGAGTAACCTAGAAAAACACATTTAAGAGATTTGGGATCTAACTTGGTTACTTGGGGTCGAACATCACGAACAAAACAAAGTCTATCAAATATCTTTGGGGCAATAGGAAACAAAGACTTAGACGGGAAGAGAACACTGTAGGAGTGGAACCATTCAAAATAGAGGAAGACATGCGGTTAATTAGAAACAGGCCGTGGAAACTGCATCGGCCCAAAACTGTTTAGGAACTTGCATTTGAAATAATAGGGCTCGAGCGGTTTCAAGAAGGTGCCTATTTTTCCTCTCGGCTACTCCATTTTGGGATGGTGTGTGTAACACAAGAGGATTGATGGAAGAGATGCCATGCTGGCGCATATAAGACTGAAAAGAACTCGAGAAATACTCTTGGCATTATCGCTTCTTAATGTCTGGACAGAAGTATTAAATTGAGTTTTAAACTTCAGCACAAAGACACAAAAATGAGGAAACAACTTAGAACGATTCTTCATTAAATAAGCCAAGTTACACAAGAGTTGTCATCAACAAAGTAACAAAATATTAAATCCAGGTTTAGACACTAGAAAACGGACCCCAAACATCTGAATGAACTAATTCAAAAGGGACGCTAGCCCGTTTATGACCTTGGACTGAGAGAAAGACGTGGTGGTTTGGCAAATTGACATGACTCACAATCTAACGAAGATAATTTATTAAACTGAGGACATAGTTTCTTTAACAATAGTTAGAAGGATGTCCTAACCGACATGCTCCTCAAAAGGGGTCGAAATACTGGAACATGCAATGGTTCTGGGCACCTGTGTGTCAAGGATGTAAAGCCTCCAAATTCATGTCCTTTACCAATAATCGTCTCGTCGTAGATCTTGAAACATGAATGATCAGGGAAAAATGAGATGCAACATTTAAGAGCGCGAGTGAGTTTACTCACAGAAATTAAATTAAAAGCGAACTGTGGTAGACTAATACAGAGGATAGGGAAATTAACGGAGTAGGGGTAATAGACCCAGACCCAAGAACACAAGAAGTTGACCCACAGCTAAAGTAAATTAGACGAGGAATATGTGACTGATATGATGAAAAGAGATAGGATTACCTGTATATGATCTGTGGCACCAGAATCAATCACCCATTGGAGGATGAGGAAATAAGACATGGTTGGTTTACCTGACTCGGCGAGAGCAGTGATGGAAATAGATGAGGACTTTAATGATTCTTGGTACGAGAAAACTTGGCAAACTCATCAGCTGAAATCATAACCTTCTTCTCCAAAGTATCAGTAGCGGCAACATGAGCTGACTGAGGTTTCTGGGTCTTTTTTGCAACTTTCTACACGTGCGTTTTGTATGATGGGTTCATGACAATAGTAGCACACAATCCTCCTGACTGACTCCGATTCTCACGATAATTCGAACCCCCTCCTCTATTATTGCTCTTGTTATATGAACCGCCAGTGTCATGATTCTGACTTACAAGAGCACTACTCGATTGAACAGAGGAGTGCTTTCTGTAGGAAGAACCCTAGTAAATATGTCTTGGAGGGAGGTGATCTCAGAACTAGCAAGAACTGAGATTAGCAGATTCAAACTAGAAGGGAGTCCAGCTAGGAAACTCATAATCGCCATTTTCTCTTTTGAGCTTGTTGAACTTCACATCAGCACTCACGGTAGAAGAATTAAGTTCTCATATGTCTTTTAAAATCCATAAAATAGGCCGTAAGAGACTATCTTGTTTCTCAGCTCAATAAAAAGCTTTGCATACATAAAAATACGAGAAACATTCCCTTTCCCAGAATACAAAAAATCTAGAAGTCATCAATTCCTTCACATATTCACAATGATTAATTAAACCAAGTACCTCATGTGATGGAGTTCTCGTATTGCAAGAACAACGGGCTCCTCTCTCAACCATGTTTGTTTGAATCGTTCAGAGAATCTTTGGTGAGATGATCATTTTACCAATGCTTCGCAGATAAAGACGAATTGTCTTACTCAATCAAAATAGTTATCAGACCCATTAAGCTATATTCCGTAATTTTTGACATTACAGGAACCATAACAATTATAACTTATCAGTCTGGTAAGAAGACGAAAATAGCCAACAAAAACTCTTCAACAGAACAAAAACTGATATAACAGAAATCAACAAAACTGTTCTGACCTGGCTGAGAAACTGAGGAACTAACACACAGACTTGCCGAAAATAACAAGACGAAGCTGGGAAGGGTGATCGGAGCACTTTCTCCATCACACGGCCCACACAGCCGGCGCGTGGATCTGACGCAGATGAAAAAGGTGCGCGTGAAACTCACGCGCTACTCTTCCAGTGACCGAACTTCAGGGAATGGTCGATCGGCAGACAAGGCTTTTCCTAGGCAGGCGGTGGAGAAAAAAAAATGGCCACTCTCCAGGGTGACTCACAAAAAATGCTCACTTGGGCGGAAGAGAAAAAAACAAACTGAAAAAAAAATAAAAACAACCTAGAATGCTTGTATGCTCTGATACCATGTTACAAACGAGAACTGATTGTAATTTTTTATGTATTGCATTGACAAATTATACATCAATATATGGAAAATAAAGAAATAATCTAGGAAATAAATAATCAATCTATGAAATAAAAAATCTAACTTCCTATTTTACAGATTTGTCCTATATGTATTGATTACAATCCTAATATCCTATTATAGATTTATTCACTTAATCATGTAATATCTGTAAGATTTTGCATGATTATCTACAACAATCTACAACAAAACCAATGCGATTTTTAGAAATAATTTGTGTTAGTTAAACTATAGCAAATTGTCAACCATATTTGAAATAGATTTTTCATCTCGCACTACCTACTTGGGCTTTGGTATAATTAAAGGAATTTGAGGGGACTATCTGGGATTACAAGGAAGCGTAGGGAGGCAAGTCAAATGGCGAGGTTAATAGTGAGTGAATAATATGACATAGTGATCAAAGCAGGAGCAGCCATGGACAAAGGAGAGCAACTCTGCGAGGCGGCGAGGAACGGAGACGGGGGCAAGGTGAAAGCTCTGATAGACTCAGGAGCTGAGGTCTCGTACTTCGACAGCGATGGTCTGACACCACTCATGCACGCGGCCAAGCTTGGCCACGCCAACGTGGTCAAGATCCTTCTCGAAGATGGCGCGCCCTGGAATGCCCTCTCTGTCTAACCTCTCCGCTGGAGATTTCGCCATGGATTCGGGTCACCAGGAAGCTTTTGAAGTTCTTAAGCTGGTTATTAACTTTATTGTCCCTGTTTTTAACTTATTTGATTCAATTATGCTCATTGCGGAAAAAGTTGCTGTAATTGAGTTATGTAGAACAATTTCAAATTATGATTTTATTTTACATTGCTTTTGCACGTAGTTGATGTGAATAACTGAATCAGCTTCATATTTAAATAAGCTGCAAAAATTTAATAGGCTTAGGATACATCGCTACTTAGATACCAGGTCTTGCTGATGATTGGTGATTTTTTTATTTTTTATTTTTTAGTTTAGATTATCCGCCTACTAGCCGTGCTTAAGAAATGAGATTTACGAATAAGTATCTATAACTGAACAGGAATTCAGGCTGAGTTGATATTGGGAACTATAGCGAGAACGGCCAAAAAAAATGGTGATTCTACTGGGGATTACTTGGACGACAGGGTCAGCTTAGTGAAGACAAGTTGATGGACTCCAATAGCAAGCTGTCATGTGGCTTGGGAGAAACCGCTGATGGAGGCTCATGCAAAAGCTGTTTGCTCAGGAGGTGGTCATATATTAAACGGATTTGGAATGGGCCTTGTAGATACAGCAATTCAGCAATATGCTCCTGTTACACACACAATTGTTGAGGCTCACCCTGAGGTTTACAGCGTATGCTCAAACTGGTTGGGGCAAGAAGGGTAATGTGAAGATAATATTTGGTCGCTGGCAAGATGTTCTTTCTGAACTTGAATCCTATGATGGTAAGTCTGTTTTACCTTCCTACTATGGCCAAACTATCTGTGAATTTATAAGTACAAGTAACATAGAGGCAGTATTGCATATCTGTTTGTGGTATTTGTGTTAGTGTGGTCTTATCAACAATTGTGGAGGGTGAATGAGGGACCCAGTCTTCTTTATGAATATTTATTATTCATAAGTTACATATATGTATATATTATCCCCTTTATGTAACATACCCTTTGAATGTATTCTTGTCATATTCCCTTATGATGGTCATATGAGGATGAACTTCTGTATGATTTATGTTATTAGCTGATATGAGAGTTGATTCCTTTTTGGAAAACTGTCATCTGCAGTATTATTGACTCTCTGTTCATAATGCCACAATTATCTTGTGACATTACACATACCCTTCCGGCCAACAGTGAGGTCCTCAAGCATCTGCTGATTTATTTACTCACATGGTTCATTATTAAAGCATGTAATATTTCTGAACTGTACCAGTTATAATTTTCTCAGTGAATGACACCTTCAAGTTTCTGAATATTTGCTCTCTATAAAAGCCTACAACCCCTTAGGATTGCTTCAGGAGAATTTTTTTTGCTGCCTAGCTTGTGCATGTATATAGTCTTGGTTCTCAATAGATAGGAAGGTGTAGGATGAATGTGCTACAGTAAAACATAAGTCCAAAAAATGATTTAAGTGAAAGCTGAAATGGTGTTAGTCTAGAACACATACAACTGGGCAATTTTCAAATTTGAATTCAATTAAATACCAAAACTAACGTAGATATACATATTTGTTTCCATTTTTAATATTTTTTTTCACAGGAGCAGACTTAAGTTTGAATTTTTGATCCACAAATTGTTTCATTTTTTTTATCTTGCTACTTGTGAAGACATGGGAACTTGTTCAGACTAATAAAAGAAAGGGAAAAATACAATTTTTAAGTGCCCTCATTTCATCTGTTATCTGTTTTCATCTCTTTTGGAACAAAAAAGAAAGTCATCTATTTGTTAGATGTTTTGTGCAACACTCCAGTGTTACCCAATATTCCAATTTATAAACTCACAGATTTTTTGGCTAAAACCTTTCAGGCATATTCTTTGACACCTACGGAGAGTATTATGAAGACCTGAGAGAGTTTCACCAACATCTTCCTAAGTTGTTGAAACCTGGTGGAATCTACTCATTTTTTAATGGTCTTTGTGGAGGTAATGCATTTTTCCATGTTGTTTACTGTCATTTAGTTTCTTTAGAACTCGAGAACTTGGGCTACTCCACACAATTGATTCCCTTGCCTGTTAAGAATTGTCTGGGAGAAGACGTTTGGGAAGGTGTAAGACAAAAATATTGGCATCTAGATACATATTATCTTCCAGTTTGTCAACCTTTACAAGATTCTGAATGATGTTTTGAATTTGCACCATTTTTCCCATTTAATGTAAGCACTGTAATATTTAACTAGTGTCTTTCTATGTTTTCAGCCCTCTTCATTTCAGTAAGAATGGGTAGGATGCTATATATTAGATATTCTTATATTGTCTTTCTTTTTGGATTGCTCATGGCATCATATGTTGTTGATTGAAGACAATGATAAAAGTACTAATTGCCACTATTCGAGTCAAGAATGCAAGGCCACCTTCTAGATACAGAAAAATGCACAGCGTAAGTTTTAAGTTTGTTGTGCTTGTTCATTGTTTGTAAACAAGACATTTTAAAATCAACTCAACCATGCTATGTTTAAAAGTATTCACAACGAAGCTGGTATTAAAAGTGAATGTACAATTAGAAGTGAGGCCAGCTTTGGAGATCAGAGCAGCTTTTACATGAGAATTTCCCAAGAATTTGGTTAATAACTGGCTAGGAACGGTTGCTATGAACATTTACCCGAATTTTTCTACTTGTTTTATTCTAATATAATAATTGTACCTTCTGTGAACAAAAAGGTGGAGTATGTCCACAAACCATGACCTCATTACTGGAAATTTGGTGGTTTTGGATCCAGGAACATATCTGCAAGGCCTTTGAAGTGAACCCTAGCCGCAAAAATTCAATCTTCATGTCTTGACATTGTCTAACAGATTTTGTGAATTACCCCATCAAAACTAGGAGCTACTTAAAATGCTTCATGTTGCATGCCATTATAGTTAGGAAGAATAGAAGAATCTCGCCTTAGAAAGATGATATATAATTGAAATACATTGGAGTTCAACAACAGTCGTTTACATGGTTTTTATGTACAATTGCCTTCCTCCTTATCTTAATCCCCTGACCTCTGTGGAGAGCAATTACAAACTCAACTGCCTGCTTAGTTGCTGAAACATAATAGATGGTGCGAGGCTAATGCTCATATACTGTTAATACATAAGAGTGAGGCTTCGTTGTGCTTGGAGGGACTTCTTAGCGCATGATTTAGTTATTGGCCAGTTTCTCAAAGCGGTTGACTATGTCCAGCTGATTGCTATTGGACTACTAACAACATGTTTCCCATCCGACCACCGGAGACTAGCAAAGCTGTTTGTACCAGATGGCATAGAATTCGCAGTAATTGTCACTGTGTAGCTCTTTTTCTCGTTTTGTTGGCTGAAATTAAGTGATTCTGGCTCAACCAAAATCTTCACTGATGGAATCTGTGGAGATACTGATACCTTGTACGTTGCAGGAGTGCCCACATTTGTTAGAGTCCTAGAGTATTTCAGAGTGCTGGTTGCGCCAGCGCCACCTCCTTTCCCTGATGCAGTTTGCAAAGGAACAGAGAAAGATGGGTAGTTAAAGTCCCTCAGGCTGTAAATTTTGCTGGAAACGCAAGTGAAGTCTTTGTTTGTAGCTTGCTTAATCTGAGCTCTGCTATAGTTTAAGGCACAGAGGAAGCCTAGGTAGTCCTCAACGTTGGCATCATAGACAAGGCCAGGATCGAGAGCTGCCACAGGATCCACGTGTCCAGCACCGTAATCAAATGGTGTCGAGGGTTGTCCAGTGGCAATATCTAAAATGTTTCCTCCATTTCCGTATGTTGAGTAGGCTGTGGTCATGAGGGCAGACTTAATGGCTGCAGGACTCCATTCTGGGTGGGCAGCCTTAAGGAGTGCGGCTAACCCACTTACATGGGGACATGACATCGATGTGCCTGAAACGATGTTGAAGCTCACACGCCTTTTGTCATTTTGTAGCCCAGTTGGACCAACGGCACCAGTCCAACCAGCCAGGATATTGACTCCCGGTGCTATAAAGTCTGGTTTGAGTAATTCTGGAGTGACTGGATTTGGACCTCTGGAGCTGAACGCTGCCACAACTGGTGATGGTTTGACACCCAACTTTGTGCCTCCAGAAGTGATCGTGGCCATTGCCTTGGGATCTGAAGCGACATATTTCTTAATTACATCACCAGCATTTTGGCCTACCGTTGCTGAAGGCAAAAGCTGTGCGTCCGCTACTAGCTCTTCCCCATAAAATTCAGTGTTTGTTAAAATCATCCCAACAGCACCTGCATCTTTCACCACCACACCCTTTTGCACCCTAGCATTGCCCCCACGATCGCATATCACAATTTTCCCCGCGACTTTTGCAGGAATCAAACTTCCAGCCAAGCAAAGATTGCCGCTTGATGAATTACTTGCATTGGCAGCGGAAATTAGTGGCACCAAGGAACTGGGGAGTGGTTTTCCACTATACAGAGATACACCAGAGAAATTCTTTCCACTTCCAAGGGTAACATAGGCCGGAAAATCACGGTCCAAAGTTCCAGCGCCTACAGTGGTTATCCAAGGTGCAACGTTGGACAAGCCGCCCGCATATGGTCCACTATTTCCGGCTGAACAAGATACAACAATTCCCTGTGCCATAGCGGTGAAAGCTCCCACTGCAACAGTATCTCTATAGTACTCTGACACTCCTCCCCCAATAGACATGGATAAAACATTTACTCCGTCTGCCACAGCTTTATCCATGCCTGCTATGATATCGGTACTAAAACACCCACCAAGCCAACATACCTTGTATATAGCAACCCGCGCTTTTGTAGCCATACCACGTGCTGTACCAGGAGCAAAACTGAGTAGACTGGCTCCGGAGACTGCTGAGCCAGCAGCTGTAGTTGATGTGTGAGTTCCATGACCATCGTCATCTCTGGGTGATTTTGATTCCACGGTTTCATCAATGGGCCCGAATGTTGCTTCATACCCTTTTGAGAAATACCTTGCACCAATTAGTTTCCGATTACAGCTTGATGAGTTAAAATTCTTGCCCACCTCGCACTCTCCTTTCCAGCCACTTGGGACTGTTCCAAGCCCTGTGTCGTCGAAGCTTTTCAGCTCTGGCCATACTCCAGTGTCTAAGATTCCAATAATGACCTCACTCTGGGCTTCAGATGCAGGAAAGAGAGCTTCACTCTTTCCCAATCCAAGGAATTCTGGTGTTCGAGTTGTGTGTAGTTCATATCTGACTTCAGGCAGGACTGCGATGATTCCAGGTTGGTTTTCAAGCGACTCAGCTTCTTCGGCAGTTAGCCTTGTGGAGAAGCCATGAATTACATTGTCGTAGGTGTAGAGCATGGCTGCAGAATCTGATACTGATTGTAAAGATGAAGAGTACCATTGAAAATGATCATCGAAACTTGCTGGCATGTTAGACTTGTCCACATGAATTACATAAGTCTTTCTGAGTTTCTGGTTCTTCTCTTCTGCTTCTGCTACCACATACCAGTAGCAGGAAATCAGAACTAGAATTATTTGTAGAAGCCTGAACTTCAATATCTTCATCTTCTCACTCTATTATTGGAAGCCTGAATGGTAGGTTTCAAGCACTTCAGTGAAATTTATAGCTGTTTTTGCTTCAGAACGTCACTGAGAACTGAAGATAAAAATTATTAAAGGACAAAGAGGATTCTCTATATTAAATTCGACTCCTCTCGGCATGGTCTTATATAATATGACACCAGGCTTGACTCTAGTAAAACATAGTCCTGTGATATTAGTAAAGAACTGGGGAGTTATACAACGAGTGGTGTCAAGTGGGTCATGCTGTATTTTGATTATTTAATTCCCAATTCTCAACAAACTGTAAAACGAGTGAAACGGGATCGAATGGCCAGTGATTATTGATATCATTGCTTGGCTTTATGATTGTAAATCGCTTACACGTCTCAGTTAAATTAAAAATGGGGCCCTACTAATGAATCTGTACTCTATTCGGTGTACAACTTTTAGTGGTTTATAGTGGTCGGTTTTGTCTTTTAATCCATCCGAATTCAGAGCATAGAATCTTACTGCAAAATCTTCTGCAAAGAAATTGTAGGTATAATAAATATAATAATCATTCACGTCTCTAGGCAGGCGCCCACATAAAGGGTTGTCTAATCATTTTACAAGCACCAGTTAGTGGAGTCGCGTGGCCAAATAAACTTTAGCAGTTCCCAGGTGTGCCACAGATACATACTTTACAGGTCAACATCCATATAAGCAAATTGCCTTTAGGTCTCTGGTTGTTGTCAAATTCTCGCGGAAATTGTGATCCCTGCTATCCAATCAACTTAAAGCATAATGCAACTACTTTGCTTTTAAGCTTTCCGGTGAGTGGCATACTTTCGAAGGCATAATTACGTTTATGACCTTCAGGTTTATGTCTAAAACTTTGGTCTACTAAAATCTGAAAGTAATACTTTTTATCTTTGTCTGAATCTGAACTCTGATTTCTGAAGAAGTTAAACGTGTTATTTTTCAGGACTTTATATGGACAAAAGTGTTTGTTTTAGGGATCGGATTATGAAGACCTGAGAGAGTTTCACCAACATCTTCCTAAGTTGGAAACCTGGTGGAATCTACTCATTTTTAATGGTCTTGTGGAGGTAATGCATTTTCATGTTGTTTACTGTCATTTAGTTTCTTAGAACTCGAGAACTTGGGTACTCCACACAATTGATCCCTTGCCTGTTAAGAATTGTCTGGGAGAAGACGTTTGGGAAGGTGTAAGACAAAAATATTGGCATCTGATACATATTATCTTCGTTTGTCAACCTTTACAAGATTCTGAATGATGTTTGAATTTGCACCATTTTTCCCATTTAATGTAAGCACTGTAATATTAATAGTGTCTTTCTATGTTTTCTCCCTCTTCGTTTGAGTAAGAATGGGTAGGATGGTATATATTAGATATTCTTATATGTCTCTTTTTGGATTGCTCATGGCATCCTATGTTGTTGATTGAAGACAATGATAAAAGTATAATTGCCACTATTCGAGTCAGAATGCAAAGCCACCTTCTAGATACAGAAAAATGCACAGCGTAAGTTTTAAGTTGTTGTGCTTGTTCATTGTTTGTAAACAAGACATTTTAAAATCAACTCAACCATGCTATGTTTAAAAGTATTCACAACGAAGCTGGTATTAAAGTGAATGTACAATTAGAAGGAGGCCAGCTTTGGAGATCAGAGCAGTTTTTACAGGGGAATTTCCCAAGAATTTGGTAATACTGGCTAGGAACGGTTGCTATGAACATTTACCCGAATTTACTTGTATTAACCTTGTTTTATTCTAATATAATATTGTAACTTCTTGTGAACAAAAAGGTGGAGTATGTCCACAAACCATGACCTCATTACTGGAAATTTGGTGGTTTTGGATCCAGGAACATATCTGCAAGGCCTTTGAAGTGAACCCTAGCCGCAAAAATTCAATCTTCATGTCTTGACATTGTCTAACAGTTTTGTGAATTACCCCATCAAAACTAGGAGCTACTTAAAATGCTTCATGTTGCATGCCATTATAGTAAGGAAGAATAGAAGAATCTCGTCTTAGAAAGATATATAATTGAAATACATTGGAGTTCAACAACAGTCGTTTACATGGTTTTATGTACAATTGTCTTCCTCCTTATCTTAATGCCCTGACTCTGTGGAGAGCAATTACAAACTCAATGCCTGCTTAGTTGCTGAAACATATAGATGGTGCAAGGCTTGCTATCTACTGTTAATACATAAGAGTGAGGCTTCGTTGTGCTTGGGGGGACTTCTTAGCATGATTTAGGTATGGCCAGTTTTCAAGTGGTTGACTATGTCCAGCTGATTGCTATTGGACTACTAACAACATGTTTCCATCCGAACACTGGAGATAGCAAAGCTGTTTGTACCAGATGGCATAGAATTCGCAGTAATTGTCACTGTGTAGCTCTTTTCGTTTTGTTGGCTGAATTAAGTGATTCTGGTCAACCAAAATCTTCACTGATGGAATCTGTGGAGATACTGATACCTGTACGTTGCAGGAGTGCCCACATTTGTTAGAGTCCTAGAGTATTTCAGAGTGCTGGTTGCGCCAGCGCCACCTCCTTTCCTGATGCAGTTTGCAAAGGAACAGAGAAAGATGGGTAGTTAGTCCCTCAGGCTGTAAATTTTGCTGGAAACGCAAGTGAAGTCTTTGTTTGTAGCTTGCTTAATCTGAGCTCTGCTATAGTTAAGGCACAGAGGAAGCCTAGGTAGTCCTCACGTTGGCATATAGAAGGCCAGGATCGAGGCTGCACAGGATCCAGTGTCCAGCACCGTAATCAAATGGTGTCGAGGGTTGTCCAGTGGCATATTAAAATGTTTCCTCCATTTCTGTATGTTGAGTAGGCTGTGGTCATGAGGGCAGACTTAATGGTGCAGGACTCCATTCTGGGTGGGGAGCTTAAGGAGTGCGGCTAACCACTTACATGGGGACATGACATCGATGTGCCTGAAACGATGTTGAAGCTCACACGCCTTTGTCATTTTGTAGCCCAGTTGGACCAACGGCACCAGTCCAACCAGCCAGGATATTGACTCCCGGTGCATAAAGTGGTTTGAGTAATCTGGAGTGTAGGAAATAAAAAATCTAACTTCCTATTTTACAGATTTGTTCCTATTATGTATTGATTACAATCCTAATATCCTATTATAGATTTATTCACTTAATCATGTAATATCTGTAAGATTTTGCATGATTATCTACAACAATCTACAACAAAAACCAATGCGATTTTTAGATAATAATTTGTGTTAGTTTAAATTATAGCAATATGTCAACCATATTTGAAATAAGATTTTTCACCTCGTAACTACCTACTTGGGCTTTGGTATAATTAAAGGAATTTGAGGGGACTATCTGTGATTACAAGGAAGCGTAGTAGAGGTTAGTCAATTAGGCGAGCTTAATAGTGAGTGAATAATATGGCATAGTGAGCCAAGCAGCACAGCAGCCATGGACAAAGGAGAGCAACTCTGCGAGGCGGCGAGGAACGGAGACGGGGGCAAGGTGAAAGCTCTGATAGACTCAGGAGCTGAGGTATCGTACTTCGACAGCGATGGTCTGACACCACTCATGCACGCGGCCAAGCTTGGCCACGCCAACGTGGTCAAGATCCTTCTCGAAGATGGCGCGCCCTGGAATGCCCTCTCTCCGTCTAACCTCTCTGCTGGAGATTTCGCCATGGATTCGGGTCACCAGGAAGCTTTTGAAGTCCTCCTTAATGCTGGTTATTACTTTATTGTCCCTGTTTTTGTTTAACTTATTTGATTCAATTATGCTTCATTGCGGAAACAAGTTCGCTGTAATTGAGTTATGTAGATACAATTTCAAATTATGATTTTATTTTACATTGCTTTTGCACGTAGTTGATGTGAATAACTGACTCAGCTTTCATATTTAAATAAGCTGCAAAAATTTATTAGGCATTAGGATGTATAACATCGCTCTACTTAGTATACCAGGTCTTGCTGATGATTGGTTGATTTTTTTTTTTTTTTTTTTTTAGTATTAGATTATCCGCACTACTAGCCGTGCTTAAGAAATGAGAATTTTACGAATAAGTATCTAAACTGAACAGGAATTCAGGCTGAGTTGATATTGGGAACTATAGCGAGAACGGCCAAAAAAAATGGTGATTCTACTGGGGATTACTTAGACGACAGGGTCAGCTTTAGTGAAGACAAGTTGATGGACTCCAATAGCAAAGCTGTCATGATGGCTTGGGAGAAACCGTTGATGGAGGCTCATGCAAAAGCTGTTTGCTCGGGAGGTGGTCATATATTAAACATTGGATTTGGAATGGGCCTTGTAGATACAGCAATTCAGCAATATGCTCCTGTTACACACACAATTGTTGAGGCTCACCCTGAGGTTTACAAGCGTATGCTTCAAACTGGTTGGGGCAAGAAGGGTAATGTGAAGATAATATTTGGTCGCTGGCAAGATGTTCTTTCTGAACTTGAACACTATGATGGTAAGTCATGTTTTCCCTTCCTACTATGGCCAAACTATCTGTGACTTTATAAGCTACAAGTAACATAGAGGCAGTATTGCATATCCTGTTTGTGGTATTTGTGTTAGTGTGGTCTTATCAAACAATTTGTGGAGGGTGAATGAGCTGACCCAGTCTTCTTTATGAATATTCATTTCATAAGTTACATATATGTATTATTATTATCCCCTTTATGTAACATACCCTTTGAAATGTATTTCTTGTCATATTCCCTTATGATGGTCATATGAGGGTGAACTTCTATATGATTTATGTTATTAGCTGATATGAGAGTTGATTCCTTTATGGAAAACTGTCATCTGCAGTATTATTGACTCTCTGTTCATAATGCCACAATTATCTTGTGATATTACACATACCCTTCCGGCCAACGGTGAGGTCCTCAAGCATCTGCTGATTTGTTTACTCGCATGGTTCATTATTAAAGCATGTAATATTTCTGAACTGTACCAGTTATAATTTTCTCATTGATGACACCTTCAAGTTTCTGAATATTTGCTCTCTATAAAAGCCTACGACTCCTTAGGATTGCTTCAGGAGAATTTTTTTTGCTGCCTAGCTTGTGTATGTATATAGTCTTGGTTCTCAATAGATAGGAAGGTGTAGGATGAATGTGCTACAGTAAAACATAAGTAATTAAGTGAAAGCTGAAATGGCGTTAGTCTAGAACACATACAACTTGGCAATTTTCAAATTTGAATTCAATTAAATACCAAAGCTAACGTAGATATACATATTTGTTTCCATTTTTAATATTTTTTTCACAGGAGCAGACTTAAGTTTGAATTTTTGATCCACAAATTGTTTCTCTTTTTTTATCTTGCTACTTGTGAAGACATGGGAACTTGTTCAGACTAATAAAAGAAAGGGAAAAATACAATTTTTAAGTGCCCTCATTTCATCTGTTATCTGTTTTCATCTCTTTTGGAACAAAAAAGAAAGTCATCTATTTGTTAGATGTTTTGTGCAACACTCCAGTGTTACCCAATATTCCAATTTATAAACTCACAGATTTTTTGGCTAAAACCTTTCAGGCATATTCTTTGACACCTACGGAGAGTATTATGAAGACCTGAGAGAGTTTCACCAACATCTTCCTAAGTTGTTGAAACCTGGTGGAATCTACTCATTTTTTAATGGTCTTTGTGGAGGTAATGCATTTTTCCATGTTGTTTACTGTCATTTAGTTTCTTTAGAACTCGAGAACTTGGGCTACTCCACACAATTGATTCCCTTGCCTGTTAAGAATTGTCTGGGAGAAGACGTTTGGGAAGGTGTAAGACAAAAATATTGGCATCTAGATACATATTATCTTCCAGTTTGTCAACCTTTACAAGATTCTGAATGATGTTTTGAATTTGCACCATTTTTCCCATTTAATGTAAGCACTGTAATATTTAACTAGTGTCTTTCTATGTTTTCAGCCCTCTTCATTTCAGTAAGAATGGGTAGGATGCTATATATTAGATATTCTTATATTGTCTTTCTTTTTGGATTGCTCATGGCATCATATGTTGTTGATTGAAGACAATGATAAAAGTACTAATTGCCACTATTCGAGTCAAGAATGCAAGGCCACCTTCTAGATACAGAAAAATGCACAGCGTAAGTTTTAAGTTTGTTGTGCTTGTTCATTGTTTGTAAACAAGACATTTTAAAATCAACTCAACCATGCTATGTTTAAAAGTATTCACAACGAAGCTGGTATTAAAAGTGAATGTACAATTAGAAGTGAGGCCAGCTTTGGAGATCAGAGCAGCTTTTACATGAGAATTTCCCAAGAATTTGGTTAATAACTGGCTAGGAACGGTTGCTATGAACATTTACCCGAATTTTTCTACTTGTTTTATTCTAATATAATAATTGTACCTTCTGTGAACAAAAAGGTGGAGTATGTCCACAAACCATGACCTCATTACTGGAAATTTGGTGGTTTTGGATCCAGGAACATATCTGCAAGGCCTTTGAAGTGAACCCTAGCCGCAAAAATTCAATCTTCATGTCTTGACATTGTCTAACAGATTTTGTGAATTACCCCATCAAAACTAGGAGCTACTTAAAATGCTTCATGTTGCATGCCATTATAGTAAGGAAGAATAGAAGAATCTCGTCTTAGAAAGATGATATATAATTGAAATACATTGGAGTTCAACAACAGTCGTTTACATGGTTTTTATGTACAATTGTCTTCCTCCTTATCTTAATGCCCTGACCTCTGTGGAGAGCAATTACAAACTCAACTGCCTGCTTAGTTGCTGAAACATAATAGATGGTGCAAGGCTAATGCTCATATACTGTTAATACATAAGAGTGAGGCTTCGTTGTGCTTGGAGGGACTTCTTAGCGCATGATTTAGTTATTGGCCAGTTTCTCAAAGTGGTTGACTATGTCCAGCTGATTGCTATTGGACTACTAACAACATGTTTCCCATCCGACCACTGGAGACTAGCAAAGCTGTTTGTACCAGATGGCATAGAATTCGCAGTAATTGTCACTGTGTAGCTCTTTTTCTCGTTTTGTTGGCTGAAATTAAGTGATTCTGGCTCAACCAAAATCTTCACTGATGGAATCTGTGGAGATACTGATACCTTGTACGTTGCAGGAGTGCCCACATTTGTTAGAGTCCTAGAGTATTTCAGAGTGCTGGTTGCGCCAGCGCCACCTCCTTTCCCTGATGCAGTTTGCAAAGGAACAGAGAAAGATGGGTAGTTAAAGTCCCTCAGGCTGTAAATTTTGCTGGAAACGCAAGTGAAGTCTTTGTTTGTAGCTTGCTTAATCTGAGCTCTGCTATAGTTTAAGGCACAGAGGAAGCCTAGGTAGTCCTCAACGTTGGCATCATAGACAAGGCCAGGATCGAGAGCTGCCACAGGATCCACGTGTCCAGCACCGTAATCAAATGGTGTCGAGGGTTGTCCAGTGGCAATATCTAAAATGTTTCCTCCATTTCCGTATGTTGAGTAGGCTGTGGTCATGAGGGCAGACTTAATGGCTGCAGGACTCCATTCTGGGTGGGCAGCCTTAAGGAGTGCGGCTAACCCACTTACATGGGGACATGACATCGATGTGCCTGAAACGATGTTGAAGCTCACACGCCTTTTGTCATTTTGTAGCCCAGTTGGACCAACGGCACCAGTCCAACCAGCCAGGATATTGACTCCCGGTGCTATAAAGTCTGGTTTGAGTAATTCTGGAGTGACTGGATTTGGACCTCTGGAGCTGAACGCTGCCACAACTGGTGATGGTTTGACACCCAACTTTGTGCCTCCAGAAGTGATCGTGGCCATTGCCTTGGGATCTGAAGCGACATATTTCTTAATTACATCACCAGCATTTTGGCCTACCGTTGCTGAAGGCAAAAGCTGTGCGTCCGCTACTAGCTCTTCCCCATAAAATTCAGTGTTTGTTAAAATCATCCCAACAGCACCTGCATCTTTCACCACCACACCCTTTTGCACCCTAGCATTGCCCCCACGATCGCATATCACAATTTTCCCCGCGACTTTTGCAGGAATCAAACTTCCAGCCAAGCAAAGATTGCCGCTTGATGAATTACTTGCATTGGCAGCGGAAATTAGTGGCACCAAGGAACTGGGGAGTGGTTTTCCACTATACAGAGATACACCAGAGAAATTCTTTCCACTTCCAAGGGTAACATAGGCCGGAAAATCACGGTCCAAAGTTCCAGCGCCTACAGTGGTTATCCAAGGTGCAACGTTGGACAAGCCGCCCGCATATGGTCCACTATTTCCGGCTGAACAAGATACAACAATTCCCTGTGCCATAGCGGTGAAAGCTCCCACTGCAACAGTATCTCTATAGTACTCTGACACTCCTCCCCCAATAGACATGGATAAAACATTTACTCCGTCTGCCACAGCTTTATCCATGCCTGCTATGATATCGGTACTAAAACACCCACCAAGCCAACATACCTTGTATATAGCAACCCGCGCTTTTGTAGCCATACCACGTGCTGTACCAGGAGCAAAACTGAGTAGACTGGCTCCGGAGACTGCTGAGCCAGCAGCTGTAGTTGATGTGTGAGTTCCATGACCATCGTCATCTCTGGGTGATTTTGATTCCACGGTTTCATCAATGGGCCCGAATGTTGCTTCATACCCTTTTGAGAAATACCTTGCACCAATTAGTTTCCGATTACAGCTTGATGAGTTAAAATTCTTGCCCACCTCGCACTCTCCTTTCCAGCCACTTGGGACTGTTCCAAGCCCTGTGTCGTCGAAGCTTTTCAGCTCTGGCCATACTCCAGTGTCTAAGATTCCAATAATGACCTCACTCTGGGCTTCAGATGCAGGAAAGAGAGCTTCACTCTTTCCCAATCCAAGGAATTCTGGTGTTCGAGTTGTGTGTAGTTCATATCTGACTTCAGGCAGGACTGCGATGATTCCAGGTTGGTTTTCAAGCGACTCAGCTTCTTCGGCAGTTAGCCTTGTGGAGAAGCCATGAATTACATTGTCGTAGGTGTAGAGCATGGCTGCAGAATCTGATACTGATTGTAAAGATGAAGAGTACCATTGAAAATGATCATCGAAACTTGCTGGCATGTTAGACTTGTCCACATGAATTACATAAGTCTTTCTGAGTTTCTGGTTCTTCTCTTCTGCTTCTGCTACCACATACCAGTAGCAGGAAATCAGAACTAGAATTATTTGTAGAAGCCTGAACTTCAATATCTTCATCTTCTCACTCTATTATTGGAAGCCTGAATGGTAGGTTTCAAGCACTTCAGTGAAATTTATAGCTGTTTTTGCTTCAGAACGTCACTGAGAACTGAAGATAAAAATTATTAAAGGACAAAGAGGATTCTCTATATTAAATTCGACTCCTCTCGGCATGGTCTTATATAATATGACACCAGGCTTGACTCTAGTAAAACATAGTCCTGTGATATTAGTAAAGAACTGGGGAGTTATACAACGAGTGGTGTCAAGTGGGTCATGCTGTATTGTGATAATTTAATTCCCAATTCTCAACAAACTGTAAAACGAGTGAAACGGGATCGAATGGCCAGTGATTATTGATATCATTGCTTGGCTTTATGATTGTAAATCGCTTACACGTCTCAGTTAAATTAAAAATGGGGCCCTACTAATGAATCTATACTCTATTGGGTGTACAACTTTTAGTGGTTTATAGTGGTAGGTTTTGTCTTTTAATCCATCCGAATTCAGAGCATAGAATCTTACTGCAAAATCTTCTGCAAAGAAATTGAAGGTATAATAAGTATAATAATCATTCACGTCTCTAGGCAGACGCCCACATAAAGGGTTGTCTAATCATTTTACAAGCACCAGTCAGTGGAGTCGGGTGGCCAAATAAACTTCACCAGTTCCCAGGTGTGCCACAAATACATACTTTACAGGTCAACATCCATATAAGCAAAGAAAAATATTACCTTTATAAAAACTTATTGAAAGAGAATTAGAAAATGATATAAAAATATTAAAAAAAAAAATCATAAAAATTAACGGCTCATAAGCAAATGCCTTTAGGTCTCTGTTTGCTGTCAAATTCTCGCGGAAATTGTGAACCCTGCTATCCAATCAACTTAAAGCTGTTATATTTATAGCATAATACAACTATTTTGCTTTTAAGCTTTCCGGTGAGTTGCATACTTTTGAAGGGATAATTACGTTTATGACCTTCAGGTTTATGTTTAAAACTTTGGTCTGCTAAAATCTGAAAGTAATACTTTTTATCTTTGTCTGAATCTGAACTCTGATTTCTGAAGAAGTTAAACGTGTTATTTTTCAGGACTTTATATGGACAAAAGTGTTTGTTTTAGGGATCAAAGTGTTATTTTCTGATTCTATAGGACAAAATAGATGTAGCTGCCCTACTTTTAAAGTGGTCTCTTTTGTTTAATCAATTCTGAAAATGATAAAACAGGGAGTCACCTCTCCTATCAATTCATTATTATTCACATTTTACGATTGAATACCTAGAAACTGATGGAAGAAAGATTGTAATCAACAACCACTGTAACCTTATTAATAAAATATGTTATCTTGGTTTAGTGATTGGATAAGAATATTCAAAGCCCACCATGAACAATCTAATAAATCTCGATCCACAAAGCTTAGTGGAAGGAGTAAGACCACTAATGAAATCGTTTGTTAAAAAGAAAAAAAGAATCATGGCTTTGGATTCTCTTCAATATTGTCGCCTTCTGCAACCTAAATAATTATAATTAGAAGATGATAGTGGCATATACTAGTGATTGAAGGTGACCCTGAAAAAAATCATGAAAGAATCAGTTAAAGGAGCTTTTGAATTGTCCTGGTAGAGCATTAGTGTTAATATTTACTTGGATCTTAGTTGCAGAGTCTGAGCACATTGATTAGCATAGTGTAGTTGTAGAAGGCGCACTACCGACTACCGAGTACGATTATCATAAAAGTAATAAAGATTAAAGAAAGAAGGTTGTTTTCATTAGATTATATTACAATGTTTAATCATAACAAACTTTGATTTGTTTGTTTCCCCTACTGTTAATCTTAACTAATATCGCCCTGGAATTAGCTGGAAAAGGGCCCTCCTCCATCAATAATTGCACATTTCTCTGTTTGTGTGAACAATTGACAATATAATTGCGAGTTCAAGACTTTTGAAACCCTTTTGATTAACTAATATATTTTTTACGCGTCGTGTGCCGAAAGTGAAACGTCTATACGTTTGATTGAAGTGTTTCTTGGAATCCTTAGATTTAACCTGTGAAATAGACCACTGGAGATTACAGGTAAGAGATTATAAATATTTTTTTTTCCGATCTTTATGGAAACTTTTTGTTCATATATTCATGTTTTTTTTTTTTTTGATGATCTTAACAAACTTTAACTTCGTGTTGAAACCTGATATCAATTACTCGATGAATGATGATAATTAAAGAAACTAATCCAAGAAAAGGATGTGAACGTCTAAGCATATGCAGCTGAAGATGTCTCTTTGTCAAAGTGGCATCTGTCACTTCAGTTATCAATATCATCAATCAAAGTTGAAGTGACGTAAAGGCTAAGAACAAAAATGGTTGGCCGTCGTGGGTTTTAATCCATATCGTCATTACTAGGCTCAATAATGGACTCAAAGCTCCATATGGACCGGTGGATGCCATTGCTTTGCATATACTTGTTGCCATTAATATAATTTGTCATTTACTTGTGAGCTTTGTCACCAATTATTAACTTCGAGTGCTCTCTCTTGCACCTCCGAATTGGTGGCCTCACCTCATTCCTTCTCAAGAAAAAAATAGAGTTTAGCTAAACTTGTAGCATTTATTTATCTTGGCATGCAGATGCAGCAAATGCTTAACCTATCAATTATTGTAGGCTGAAATATTAGTTAATAATTAGATATAATATGAATTTGTCACCAGCAGATTTGACTCTTTGGGTATCTGGGTTGAAACCAAAACAGTGACCGGAGTTGCTAAAATGTCACTTTCCCAGGCAAAGTTGGCGTAAATAATTGAAGCATTTCCTATTTGAAAGCTTCGCTTCTCAGTGGTCAATTCAAGTTAAAATTGACAAGTATCAAACATTAAGAGTAGCCATCTACCTTCATTATTGAGGCATTTGTTATGTTTATAAGCGGTTTAAGGTGATAATTAGCACAACTAACCAACTGATTTATAAATTCTTTAATTACCTCATTAGTAGTGAGTGTATTATCTCTCTTTGCTTTGTGAATAAAGTTCCCATTAATAGCCAGGTTAATTTTCTTTGCTCAAAAGAATTGATATTACAACTGCTTCCATTTTGCTACAAACCCAAAAGACAAGATGAGCAACAATATTATTGTGATAAATGATTATAAGATTTGAACTCAAAAACCAAAGAATGAAACAAACTTCTTTGAATACCGTCAATCCCTTGGATTAACTGTTCCCTTTCTTGATTCCACAATTTATTGCATAAAATTAGCATATATTACGAAATGATTAACGACTTTCCTGCCACATGACATGTTCCTAACTTCCTATTGAAAACGATGGCTAACCTTTTAATGGGGCTAATTAATAAACTATATCATGAATTTTTTTTTTGGATTTTATGAAGTTTATCAAAGGGCCTATAGCCCTTTAGGCGCTGCCAATAGTTAGCCGGTTGTAACACGCAAACTTGTAAATTGGCCCATGTATTTGTTGTTAAGCTTGTCTAACAGGTCATCTCTATTTGGACTTCAAGATGTTGAAAAATGTTCAGTGATGTTACGCAAGTCCACTATATTTCTTTCTAACTCTTACTCATTTTAATTTAGAGGGTCTAATATGCCAAGCCCATTAAACTCACAGGCCGTATGTCGTGATCCGACCCAGCTCACTATTACAATTGGGTTTGGGCCAGTATCTAGCTAACCGACCCGTTTGACATCTCTTGCCGGATAAACACGCGAAGCTGCTTGGCGATCATGCAAATCGCCAGCATCACCAAAACCAGATCAGACGCGCCAGTTCAATCACACAGGCCGCGGGCATGCCCATTCCAGTGACAATTTACAGGACATTCACCCTCTATATATATTCTTTCAATGACCACCATCCTAACCACTTATTTTGTTCGTTCATAAGCTCTCATTTCTCAACTTCTCTTCATACTTAGAATTCTTGTTTCCTTCGGAAGACAAACTAAGTTGGGCTGGGGTAAGTTTTCTTCCTTCACATTGCGTTATATTTCATTTAATGCACTTCCCTTCTCTTGGACTTGGAGGTTCTCAATTGTTCTTTAACGTGCAGGTGTCGTATAAGTAAGTGATCGTTGTGAGAGGGTAGTGGTATATTTGGTTTTGTGAAGTAATGGAAAGGAATGGTGTGGTTTTGTGGAGTTTCACTTTCTTGTGTTTGGGGCTCATTAGTAATGTGCTAGTAGAAGCTACCAGAGGGAGGCTTCCAAGTGATTTGGGGTTCGGAATGGAAACTAGCCATACCAAAATGGCTGGTCATCAAGTGCGCCCTACTACTAGTGGTTACGAAGGAGAAGGCTATGGCTCTGGTGGTGGTGGTGGTGGTGGTTTTGGGATTGGGGGTGGAGTAGGTAAGGGCTACGGTCCTGGTGGGGGCTTTGGCTCTGGAGGCGGCATGGGTTCAGGCGGTGGTTTCGGTTCAGGTGGTGGAGCGGGCAGTGGTTTCGGCTCCGGGTCTGGTGGTGGAGGAAACGGTTACCGCACAGGCTCAGGTTCGGGATATGGTAGTGGCGGTGGTGGTGGTGGTGGTGGTGGTAGCGGCAGCGTCGGCGGCGGCGGAGGGTATGGTTCTGGCTCTGGATAAGGACTGGGTACAACCGACAACGAGGGTCGAGGTGCTCATAAAGAATTACTTATTTTGTTTTGTTGTTCCGAGGGAAGAATAACCGTCATTTAAGTTCTCACCCTCTTTATCTTTCTTGGCTTGTCATTAGTATTTTAGTAGTTTGGACCGTCTTCTGACTATGACAAATAAAGCATCGACTTTGCCTTGACGAAATGATAATTTCACATTCTTATCGCCACATTTAGTGATTAATATTTCACTACAAACAAAATTCAGACAAAAAACTCCACGTTGAAAATAACAATAACAATTTTAAATTCTTTTTCCAGACGGTGGTGCTCTTGATGGCCCCCTTCCCCGTGGCTTGTTTCAGGCACAAGATATACATAACTTGCCCCATAGAAAACCTTGGCATTTTGCTCATTAGAAAAGCCAAGGCGATTTCTTCAAGGAAGTTTTTACACGTTTTATTTTAGTTTTAATTGCAAAGTAGAAAAACTAATACCCAAATTTAAATTCAGGACGATATCTATTGTTTACTCGGTCCAAAACTGTAGTGAAATGCTGGAGAAACTTTTCCCAAGTTTCAGCTTTCGCCAACTTAAAACGTGAGGGGCACTTACATATTTTGATTGCATTATAAATTTTCACTTTAAAGAAAATTTCTTCACGCAAGTCTATCTAACACGGGTCAAAGATGCATAAAATTCGAAAGAAGCAATCGTGTAAAAGGAAATCAGCCACCAAAATTGTTACGTAAAAACAGACATCACTATTATGCTTCAATAGTCACAACAACCCAGGTCATAAATTATGGGAAGGACATTATTTTCATAGTATATATACATATGCATATATGCACAATGTCAATGGTTATTTTATCCACATCGCATCATTATAGTATTAGGACACAATAGATAACATAAATAGCACAAGAACCTTGCACACTGGAAGGATATGTATACTTTTAAGATAAATAATAGTCCTGTTTCAGGTCAAGCAAACCCAGGAGAATGGCCCCTGTGGTTGGGAAGCTCAACAGCCAAGCATATTGTCATTCTTTAGCCTGAAAATTTTCACACTACAGTGAGTTATATAGCACCTATTAATGTGACGCAGGCCATTAAAATGACTAACCATGAATAAAAAGAACAGGAATTAAGTGTCCAGAAAAATTTTAAAAATGGGTATCTGAGACCAACATTCACTGAATACAGTACAAAATAAACAAGATATATTCATCATTTTCACATATTAAAGTGAACATGTCATTAGGAGGCCCAATTCGCACAGAACTGAAGACTAAAAACCAGGAAATGACTAGAAAAAAAGAAATTTTAAGAGGTTGAGATGATGAGGCCACCAAGGACATACAAACAGAACTTTAAATCCATTGCAGTTGGGAAATGATCCTACCCAAATGTACATCCTGATCAATAATTGACATAGGAATCAACTAGCTGAATGTTTCAACTTCTGTTGACTCAACGGCAAGACAAATATGCAAGATGTTTTTTAGTTCTAGGAAAGCTTGACAATTGAGTTAAGCACTTTTAGCGTTCTGACAAACATGACTTTTTTTTTATCAAACTGTTCCACTAATTTTCATATTATTGGGGACACAAAAATCAGAACACAAAGGCAGAAATGCAAGATGGAAATGTTTATGACCATACCTTGGTCTCCAAGCATGATCCCCCAGTTAGATCACCTGCCTCACTATCACAGTTCAATTTCAGGTTCCTGCAGGGTATAAAAGTGAGGTTAAGAACAACTTAAAAATGATTAACAGAGCACAAAACCAAATTCAAAATTAGCAGCAGTTATTGATTAAATTGAAAAAAAAAAAAAAATCAATCAACTTCAGCAGACAACCTTTCATCTGTACAATTTGTTTGATGGCCTGAAAATGACCCTAATTCAGGAACTGCAGCATCAGGTTTTCCTGCCTCGTGAGATTCCAATTTATTATCTCCCTGCATAGAGAATGGCATCCTAATAACATATCCAAACAATACTTGCAGTAAAAGTCACCAAAGAAACCATAATCTCTCAATGAATCAAAACAAAAAAAGACTTACACAACAATGTTCCTCCATCCACCTGGGAACTCTATCTGAAAGAAGTTTGACATACTCCTCCATTGCCTCCTCCGGATTCATGTTCCCCAGCCTTTGCCAAGCATTCCTTGCACAACGTAAGCAGGGCTGTCCATCACTCACACAAAGCAGCTCTCAACCCTGTTATTATAACTAGCAATCAAGCTATACCGTGCAACTTCTTAAAGGGTGGGCCCTAAGGTGTCTTGGATTTTCAGTTCTTCCTAAGTTTGACAAATGCCTTATGTAATAAATTATCCCTTCAAACCAATCTAAGTTTTAGCAAACTAGAAATCTAGGTGGTCTTGTATGAAGGCATGGACTGTTAAATCTCACCTGGATGTACTACTTAAAAGTGATCGGTGTGTACTTAACTAAACAACTATATCTGAAGCTAAGAAATTGATGATCTAAGTGCATTCTGAACTACCTCTTTCCAACTACACCGTCTTACACATTAATCATAAATATAAGCATATTAGATATTTCTATCTCAGTTGCCCATTGCAAAAATGTTATAGACGAAAATTTTCTAAGTATATTATATCTGGGAAACAGTTGCATTATTTCGTATATTGCCTGATTAATTTCACCTAACATTTGGTTATGATACAACCTTTTAATTCAAGACTTTCGCAAAATTCTTAATTTAATTTGTCTGGTTTTCTAGTCTTTATGCAATTCTAGTTTACTACCCCAATCATTCACTCACACTCACACACAACAAAACCAAAGAAAAACAGATATCAAAAGAAACATAAAAAGTACAGGAAAGTATGGTACCACTTGGCACGAGCAGAGACCATAAGAGCCATTGGCTGTGTCTCATGGCAAGGTCCCTCAGTAGCAATTTTGTGAAGACCATACAACTCCATTTGCACATCACTAACCAAATCATCCTTTTCTCCAGACCCCAAAAACTTGGTAGCCTCTCCAAAAACTTTCTCCAATTCACTCCTTTCTATCCCCTCCCACCCATCATCCTCCTCACTTACCAAACCATCCATTGACTCCCCGATCTCTCCCGATTTTTCAATAATAACATTATTATTTACACCCGATTCTTCCATAATAAAATTATCATGGACCGCCGATTTTTCGATAATAAGATTATCATGGACCGCCGATTTTTCGATAATAAGATTATCATTGACAGCCGATTCTTCGATAATAACATTATCATTGATAGCCGTTTCTTCAATAGGAACATAATTATTTACAGCCGATTCTTCAATAATAGCATTATTATTCACAGCCGATTCTTCATTTTCAAAGGTGTTTTCAACCACATCATCCTCCGTTTTCGCTTCTTTCTCCACAATTTTCTCCTCTGGTGATTCTTTGCACAATCCACCAACCTCCATTAATTTTTCCTGTAACCAGCAGCGTTCCGTTTCGATTTCTTTGTCACGTGACGCTGACTCCGCGATTTCCTCGACATGTTGAACCCCTTCTTGAAATTTCTCCACTTTTTCCACAGTTTCTTCAACTAATTGAACTCTATTTTCGCTTTCAAGTACTCCAACATTCAAGTTCTCTCCATACTGCAATTCTTCCATCATAACACGTTCATCAACGTCTTTGACCTCGGTGGTGGCAGAGTTAGAATCATGAGCACAACCACCAGACATAGAAAATGAAACCAGCTTAGCAACAAGATAAGAAAACAACAGAGCAATAAAAGCAGTCAAAACCAACTCCTGAAGAAGCTCCATTCTGAGACAACAAATAAGATAAAAATATAAATTAGAATTTACAAGGAGAAGAAGATGAAGATGATGAAAAAGAGATGATAAGCTTAGAAAGTTAAATACATACGGTTATGATCATTAAAATTATAATATAAAGAAAAAAGCAAAAGGGGAATAAGGGGGAAAGGATATTTGTAGAGCAGAGCAAGGCATATTCTTCTTTTGCTTTGGATCACTTTTACTAAATTTGTGGGGCACTGCGGGTCCCACTTCGCTGTCTAATGTTGGTTCAGTCACGGAGCTGTTTAAATAAAAGTTAAGCTGACTCGGCGACGGCTTACGTTATCCGGGAACGGGTAGCTAACCGTCATCATGATTTATACCACTCAGTCGCTATCATGGCGCGTATCTCATCACTGGTAGCCATTTTTTATGTATTTTATGTTTATTTAAATCACTTGTGAATAATGATCAACTTAAATTATTTTATTTATTATCAAAATAATTATTCTAAAAAGCTGCTTGCTCTTTGAGCAAGTACAAGAACAAGGGAATAAGGATGAGTACATGTAAGGAATTGGGTAAGTCTAGACTCTAGAATTGTTCAAAGCAAAGGGAGATGAAATTAAGCAAAGTGAAGCTGAAGCTTTTGGAAGAATAAACTCGTTTAAAATAAGAAATTACTGTAATGCATTTTTTTCATAATAACCTTTAGTTTTGAATTCATATGTTTATTGAAAACAACTTGAATTGATTCTTTAAAGGTTTTTCTAAAATTAATAATAAAAATATATTGTTTTAATATAATAGTTTTGTCTCTTTATTGGACAAGTCAACTGTGTAATACTGTTGTCAAGCCCAAGGGCCTCAATTGGGTTTCACCGTGTGCTAAAGCCTATAGTTTGTTGAAGGAAACAACTTGGGCCAACCCATCTATGTGATAGCCTTTTGTTTTGTGGTGGATAATATCAAATAACCAACACTAGTTTCAGATATTTTGAAATTAATAACGAGGAAGGTTGAATGAATCCAAACAACCATGCATGAAAAATGGGAAGAGGTATTTATTGAACATATTAGGTATAGGTTGTACATGGATCCACTACTTTATTTATAAAAGACTCTTACCACCACCACTCGTTTTCTAGTGAGCTCCAGCTGTCTGCTTCTTCAAGCACTTACCCACGCCATATCCAAATCTCAACAGTCTTCTTCTCTAATTCCACCTTAATAAATTCATCTACAATGCTTATCCTTTACTGTATTGCTACAATTATTTCCAATTTATTAATTGATCTTATCTTCAACAAAACCAAATAAAATAAGTTTTTATTTAACAAGCAAGATATAGGGTCGGAAGAAATTTCCAATTAACTCTTCACCCTCTTAAACGACAACCAAAACTGTTTAATATTAAATAGTACGGGCAAAGCTAACGATATGACCAAACTTTTGCTCATTCAAGGAAACAACCAATATTACATTTACATGATATGTCTATATATTCATCAAACACTACCCTTAACAGTTAACGCTGTTAAGTTGCAAATAGACACAAGTCTTATATTACAAATATACCCTTATTTTTCATCTTTTACTTGCTAAGGAACCAGAGCTAAAACACGTGCCTCGAAGTGTTCAAAGTACTAAATACCAACACTTATTCATTAGTAAAGAAAAGCAATGTTAATTTCTTTTATCTTTTTAAGTTATCAGAGCACCATTTTCTTTTATACTGTTAAAAAGAGAAAAGAAATTATTCAAATAAACATAAATGTAAATCTTTAAAACATAGATTCGTGTCACGTGTCATTCTTTTTATATTAACTTTATTTACAAATTTGTCATTATAATATTATACAAGCATATTGTTTATGCATAGCAAAAACACAGAAAACAATATAAGAACAGTGGACGTAAGGCTTGTATTTAACATTCGAACTACTTTAAAAATCATTTTCTTGTATTATTGTTTGATTTATTATCTATCCATTGATCCGACATCTAAATCATGAGTTTTATACAAACTTGTATATAGATTCTATCACAAATCCAACGTACTTCTCGTTGATACAAATCATAGCATCAACACATACAAAACCATTAATCATATTCATGCAGAGTCATGCTTTCCAACCAAGATAATTCAATCTATTTAGATGATGAAAGAGTCGGAAAGACTAAACAAAAGCAAGAAAAAGGAGCTTTTCTTTTGCAGCTGGTAAAGTTACTCTTATCGCCCTCATCTGTTAAATATAACGGAAGTTATTTGACGGCTGGGATAGCTTTTTCAGGAATATGTGTATAAATCAGTATAATTATCGTCCAAGGTGATTGGCAAAACCTCCAGGGGTGCTTTTGATATTTAATCCAGGAAACAACTAGAAAGTGACACCGTAATATTTGTATTAAAAAACCCTTTATTTTATTCAAGGAGAAAAATAAATAAAAAATTAAAAGCAGCAGTGTACCATATATAAGTCCTTATCTTTCAAAGCTCCTGGCATCGCAATTTGGTCTCTCATTTGGTGCTTCCGTGTTTCTCACCTGAGTTGAGCCTGAGCCCTAGCCTGAGATCAAGAAGAAGAAAATGGGAGGAGGCAACGGTCAGAAGTCAAAGATGGCTCGTGAGAGGAACTTGGAGAAGCAAAAAGCCGCCGGCAAGGGTAAACTTCTCGGCTCGTTTGGTTCCCTAGAAACACTAGTCGATCTCGTTTTCTTTGTAATTTTACTTTCCAAAATAATACAAATATAGAGTCAAGTCGTCGAGTTAACTGAGGTTTGAGTTTCAACAGGCCAAAGAATGAAAGAAAATATTATTATTTTATTTTTATTTTTTTGGTGTATTCTCTGAGATCTATGGAGTTCTTCTATATCTTGATTCAATGATTGATGATCGGGTCGATCTTTGGACAGGAAGTCAGCTTGAGTCAAACAAGAAAGCCATGAGCATCCAGGTACTGCTACTAGCTTTGCCTTTGCTTATTCTCTGAGCGTCATTGTCACGTCAAAAGAAAATTGAGTTACTTAACGTAGAGAAGATAAGGGGTCTTTGTCATGGCTTGAAACCGTAAAGTGCACGAAACACGGGAACTCAGTATTCAAATATGTTGTGATTGATCTAACAAAAATGGTTTTCGAAGTCCTGATCTGTAAAAATACAGTACTTATAAGGGTAGCTCCGTAGCTGTGATTTAGTTGGTTAACCGATAAGAATTTTTAGTTGAGATTGATGATTCCTCCTTAATTATCGGTAGACCTTAAGTTTAAAAGGCAATTGTGTTTGGATTTGTCACCTATATGTAAGTGAAATTAATTATTGGTGCTCCAAAGTTGTTGAACATGATGTAAGTTATGGCAGTTGCACTTGCACACAAGTACACTTCTGTGTTGATGAGTAAAATGGTTCCAAGTGTTATCTTCTTGATGTTGTGAATTGTGATCTTGGTGGTTTGTTTTCTTGGCTACTTGAGTGATTAATACTCTTGAATGGATGAGTATAGGATTCTAGTTGCGCATCAGTATTGTATTGTATTTAGTTATGTACTATGAATACCAGAATCTCATCTAGGATCTGTCCTTTACTTTAGAAAGAGAGGCCAAAATGAAATGTTTGTGGAGATGTATGTTGATTAAACGTTAGAATTAAGACGAGTGAATTATATAGCTTACCTAGGTGTAGTTTTGTTTCTCACGGATGTTATCAATGTTGATTGCAGTGCAAAGTGTGCATGCAGACGTTCATTTGCACCACTTCGGAGGTGAAATGCAAGGAACACGCTGAAGCCAAACACCCCAAATCTGATTTATTCACATGTTTCCCTCATCTTAAGAAATGAAACAGAAACGACAAAAGTAACTATCCAACCACCATCTCCATCTCTAATTTCTTAATCATCTCTAATTTCTTAATCGTGATTAAGTCATCCTTGTAGACTCTTGGATGTTAATTAATCAAGGTCTGTGGACTATGTTTAATAGCATGCTAATTTGATGTGTGATTTTTTAGTTGCATGTCTTTTGTGCATTAAAATGAAAAATAAAAACCTTGAGTTAAATGCTTGATGCCATACAGTTCTTTGATTACTAACAAGAACCCCAATGAGACAATCTGTAGCTAGGCATGAGCTTATATTGACATTCTTTTGTTGTCAGCGATCAGAGGAAAAATACAAAAAGAAAATAACATGCATCCACTAGCAGTGAAGTCAATATGCCGCATTGGCCAAAGACAATGAAAAATCCGTAACAATTCTTGCAAGCAGATGGATAATTTTCACTCAGCATTAAAAAGTTATTGCGCACATGTCTGTGCTCTGAGAATTAGATAGGCTCAAATGTGGGTTTGAATACCTCATATATCTAGGAGACAACAAAAAAAAAAAAAAAAACCATTGCATATGGTCGAACTGCACTTTTTAACCCTGAGGAGACTTACATTTAGACCAGCTTAACATACGGACAGAAATGGTAATCCAATAGGACATTTACAGCACAGATAAATGATGTTATAACTGGTAAACTAAAAAAAGAAAAAGCAGAATTATGAGTTTTAGAGTACAACGTGCCTCCAGAAAGATGGAGAATTGGAACATGCCAGAAGACAAGAAAAAATAACGAATGCTAGCAATAGAGTAAACTATGACTGATCAAGTAGGGAGGAGACATATACCACATTCACCCAAAGGAGGTCCAAGTTGGGACTGTCAAAGAAGACGAGTTACTAACTGCGCATTCTGTTATTTTCTGCATTTCTCACTTGGTAGAAGTAAGGATGAGCCTGAAATCAAATAAATATAGAGAAAAGATCAATCAGAATAAATAACCATGCAAAATAGACTGTTTTTAGAAAACCATAAGAACAGTTAAAAGAACCAGTGAGCAGGTAGAGTTTTTCTAAAATTCTAAATTTCTTGACTTTATTAAGGAGTAAAGCTATATATTTGAAAATTAGGTAAATAAATTGTGGTCCAAACTATCTTCATGATCATAGCTTCAATAATGAAAACCAAAATGTTTCTTCCTTTTTTTCTTGCCAGAAAAAAGTTGTTCTTTAATCACAAAAAATTTGGACGTCCATGACTAGTTCTAAATCCAGAAAATTACCATTGCCTCCCTGGCTGTAAGCCTGTCCTGGTGATCATAGCGAAGAAGCTTGTCTAGAAAATCGATGGCCTGATTTCACGCAAATAATGCCCAATCGAATTAACAATCCCGTCAAAATGAATAAGACAAATCTTAATTTAATCATTTTAAGAGAATTAAAGAAGAAAAATGTAGATGACCTCTGGGGAAACTAGATGCTGATTATCAGCATTCATAAATCTGGACCATGGCTTCCTGCTGTGCCTGCAACATAAATTAGCTAGATAGCATAAGTGTCCTACAGCAGAAAATTCACTTTAAACATTCATTAAGCAACAAATGCATGAGTTATTTGAAGAAAGCAAAAGGAAGAAATGGCAGGATTAAAATGATAACAAGGTTTCTGACTTGCATCTTTAAGTTATACGGACAGGCCAACCCCTGTTTCTGGATCAGCAAATAGCATCTGAACCCAAAATTACATTTCACCCCTACAATGGCCTTTAGTACCCTTCTATAGCGACAGACTCATATCTAGCTTCTAATTCTTTGTTCAAGTTCTGAATCAAATTAAATAATCAAGAATTGGATTTACTCAAGGAGACGAGAATTGTAATTGAGTGTGGTATACCTTCCAACTATAGCTTCAAGCTGAGGATCAAGCTCTAAATGATATTTGTTCAAATATGCATTTAATTCATCAGTTCCAAGAACCTGAAAAGAGAGTGCATCTGACATAAGATACAACCAATCAAATAGGCACTTATCGATAGGTCAGTATTGTGAAGAGTGTGATAGTTTGCATGGAAACGATTAGATAATTTGAAAAAACATCAAATACAAGATTACCTTTGCAATTTTGACAAGTTGATCATGATTGTCATGACCATAAAAGAATGGTTCCTTCCGAAAAATCTGCAAGGGGGATAAAACACCACAACTGTTTGATGCTTTCATAATAAATAAGCAATGTATTGTATTTCTAACTGTGCCACCATTACGTAAATACAATACATGGAATAGGCAACTTTTGGCTCACCATTCCTGCAAACATACAGCCGAGGCTCCACATATCCAATGAATAATCATAGTCTTGCAAATCAACAAGAAGCTCAGGCCCCTTAAAGTACCTAGAAAACCAACAATAATTGAAGGACATAAAAAATCTACAAAACGAAGGAAGAATAAGCACAGTCCCTCGTAAAAGGCCATCTATTTCCCCAAGTCCAGACCTCATGCAGTTCAGCCTCTCAACACCTTGAGGCTGGTTATGGGAAACATTGTTAGGACTATTAGTTTGCACATCAAAGTTATAAGCATATATATTTTTGAGGCATTTTTGCACATCTAAATGGTTAGCACTGCATATTGGTATACCTGTCTGATGTGATAGACAGTTGATTGCATGCTTAAGGCAATCTGAGACCTGGTGGTGGTCTATGGCCTGCTGTTATTACTAGTATATTAGTTTGTAATATAATTTTGTACAGGCAGGTATGAGAAGTTCCATTTGTAGTTTGGTAAGGTTAGATAAATAAGGGAACCATGTTTCATATAAAACTTTATCAGAATATTTTCTTTAAAAATCATATTAATCAAAGTTCTATGAGAACTACCACAAAACTACTATACAATATACCACAAAATTGTCCTAGATTCCGGTGGGTTCAGATAGTCCAGTCTCAAAATACTAGTGTCTCAACAAATTCTTCTAACAAATAAGACCAAAGGACACATCAGTTATCCACTAGTTTCAACAGAAAAAGCCAGAGCCTAAATAAACATTCACAAAAAAAATCATAAAATAAAACCTTTAGCATGAAATTAAATTTAAAAAATATATATATACAAGTTAATTAAAAGCTATGGAAATCATGAATACCTTGAAGCTACTCGAACATTGTATTCTTTGCCAGGATGGTAGAATTCTGCAAGACCCCAATCAATCAAGCGAAGCTTTCGTTGCTCATGGTCAATCATCACATTGTGTGGCTTGACATCTCTATGCATTATGCCTTGAGAATGGCAGTAATCTAGTGCCTGAAATTATAAAGGTCAAGATTAGTTAAGCATGCAACATACTATATAGTACTAAAGTATGCCTCCCTTTCATACAATAACCAACAGATACTGAATGCATGCTCCGTAACACAGAGAAAACACATAAGAAATTAGTGATGTCAAGCCATCTTTTCCCAAACAAGCAAAATGAAAATACAGAAAATCAGCCATTTAAATAGGAGATTTACCACCAAATATCTTGAGAGAATCAGATCAAATCATCCCCATTCACAATAAATACACTAAAGCACCCCGTTATTGCACCAATCTCTTGATAACAATGGCATCAAAACCACATAAATTTTCATAAGTTTCATAAGAACAAACAAATATGCTTCCACCTTCTTACACACACAACAAAGAGGCTACCTTGTCATAAATTTACCCAAATGCTTGCTTGCAATCTTTCATGTCTACATTATGTTATATGATGTTCCTTGAGAGCTCATTCATGTGGAAAGGTAATAAGGTGCAAACAATCCACATTACTACATGGGTTAAAAAATAATTATTGATGGGGGCTCACTAGCATACTAATACACTGAAGAAATTTAGATATTGATAAAGTGAATAAAATGTTCATTTGAGCATTCAAAGAGGAGAACTCAGTTAAAATTTTCCATATGCCTAATAAAATAAAATTTTTAACTCAAAACTTTGACGCATCAAAATTTTCCTCGGTAAATTAATAGCATATTCTGAATAATAACAAAAGTAACAGAAAAAACACAGAATAAAAGGCAGTCTCAAAAATCAAAATGCTTCAACAAGATCAGATGAAATAACCTTGAGAAGCTCGTATATATAGTAGCGAATGTCGTTAGCTGCCAATGTGGGGTACAGAATTTTAAAATCTGTACTATTCACGGGGATAGTTCACATATTCAAAAATCAAACTAGGAGTCTTTGAGTGCTGATCTCGGACAATGTCAAGCAGCTTCACAATATTTGGACCTCCACAAAGATTTTGCAGTATTTTTATCTCCCTTTTTATCTGCAGTAGCACCAGTACATATTAGCATATGCACGATTGTGCAATATAAATATAATTATCAGCAATGGTCATTCACTGTCTCACACATTCACATTTACACCCGTCAACATTAATAAGTAAATGAGAGCCACATTCACCGACAATCCAACAAAGAGTTGCCGAACAACTCTACAATCCAAGCATGCAAACACTGACTAGAGGAGAGCTCTACTTGCACTTCAGCTACCAAGGCTACAAATCTTGCTCTAGGTGAGGTCTATGACTTCACATGGGATCAGATTCTATGCACAAATGCTTTCAGAGTTACTTCAATTTCCAGAAAATTCTTAAAGCTATTAAACATAATGATACAGCGCTGCTTAAAGGTTGAAAAGTGAAAAAATGGTCCCTCAGTTTGAGGAAAAAGCATAAAGAAAGGGTAATGCAAGATACTAAATCATGAAACGCTTGAATTCTGGGGGTCGAATGCAGAATATGATCACAAAAACCAGTAGAGGACATTTAAGTCAAGCAGGAAGCCTAGGAGAACTAATAAATGGCTGGATCGGTTTCACAACTCACACATCATTGTTTCTGACCTTGACATGAACATCGATTGTAAAAAAGGTAAGAAAAGAAGAAAAACAAAGGGGTAAGAAATCACCTTCTTTTTCTTGACGGGTTTGAGGATCTTAATAACGCATTTTTCATTGTTGGTGACATTTATACCTTCAAAAACCTCGCTGTATTTTCCCCTTCCAACTTTTCGAACAACCTCATAGTCATCTTGATCACTGAGAAAAGAATAGAGTATTAAAAAGGGATGCGCAAATTCTCAAAAACTCATTCCAGAGTAAAAACTTCCAGAGAAGTGTTTATTTACTTCCTATGGAACTCAAATATTATGTAACAAAAACAGAAGGCCTAGCAATTTTCAACTAGTAAAAGTTATTGCTTTTCAGATGGATTTAAAATTCGTAGAATTACTCTACAAAGTACCTAACCCATTAAACTTCAATGCATCAACACATACACAACTCATGATCGCTTAAAATGCAATCTATACAGCCTTCCAAGCTTTTAATAACACTAAATAGTTCCTACAGATCTTCACGTACAAAGTAACAAACTGATAATAAAACTTGAAAATCCAAAGTCGTAATTGAAGTGAATCAGACAATTAGGGTTAGTTGTTTGGAATTTTACCCCCATTGAACGGCGAGAGACTCGTAATCCCAGTAATCTCTCGGACGGTGAACGTTGACTTCTGCGTAGACACGAGCTCTTGACATGCCTATTCTCTAATGAAATAATCACAGAGAGGTTCACGAGTTTTGACCTTTGGTGTTACTGTTGTTGACGGTTCATATCGTTCTAACAAATACCAGCTCAATCATTACTTGTTTGTTTGTTATTACTCTCTCTTAAATCTTAATTTTACATAATGCGAAGTCAAAGTCCTCTCCTTATCGGGGTAAGGTCAAGGTGATTATGAGATATCCACTGCCCACACAATAGAAAATTAATTAAAAACCCAGATAACTTTATATATTCTTATATATGATGTGACATATTTAAAGAAATCTAACCAATGCTCTTTTGTAATTTGCTACATAAAATATTTTTATAATAAACTTTTGCATCAATTTATAAACCATTAATTTTAGGGTTATTAATAATTTATTTAAATTTTTGGGTTTTTTTTAAATAACCAACTTTTCCAGCCCTATACCTTTATAACCAACTTATTATTTTTACCAAACTACCCTTGTCACTAATCTCCCAACATTAGCGTGATTTCCCTAGGGTTAGCAGGATTAGTAACTTTTCCCTAGTTAGCATGATTTTTCCCAGCATTAGAGTAAAAAATCATACAAATTGGGAAAACCATGCTAAGTGTCACAGAAACAAATATAATACAAATCAATATAATCATCCATACTTTTGAATATAATTAATCACAATAACACACATAGCATCGTCCATAAAAACAAGAATAAACATATAAACGAGATTAACCAAAGTTGTAAAACATTTAAACCTTAATTCTAAACCCTAACATTTATCTTAAATCATAACAATTTATGCTAATAAATTCGGTTTACTCCCAAACAAAGAATCGGGTGAAAGTTGTAATGTTGCAAACAAAATGGTCACTTTAACAAATTTTTACCGTGATTAATTTTCAATAAGTGATTGGATTTTTAAAATCCAAAATAGATCCAAAGAAAAAAAAAATTGAAATAGGGAAAAAAGTGAAGAAATGTTAGGTTTTATATTAAGGTAAAATTGGAAGTTGTCATTTGATGGTTATATAGGTATAAGGTTGGTACAGTTGGTCGATTATTATAACGATACAATTTTTTACATCAATAGCATATTATTGTCTTTGAAAAAGTTTACAGAATGTATTATATGATTAAAATTTAAAATTTATATATCATTTATTAAACTAAATTTTAAAAATAATATAATTAAATAAATCAAAAAATTAAAAGGTTAATTAATTTAAAAAAAACTAATATACATATAAAAATTAAAAATTAACAAATTAAACCGATGATCAAATTGGGCCGCCAACAGCTATGGCCAACCTAATTTAGCCAGATTATGGTCATACCATGCACGTCGGGCCATCTTTTGTTGTTCAGAATGTGTCAGACTTTACTGTCTTAATTATTAAACTAACTTGTGTCAGCCTAGCAAAATTAAAGTTAATAGTTTTTCAATTTTTTTTATTTTTATTTTTGGTTTCTAAGATTAAACTTGCATTTGTAAGTTCCTAAAAAAGTGAAATTATTCCATTTATAAATGCTGAAATAAAAAACCATTTATTCGAGTTGAATGTGACCCGCTTTAATCTTTTAAAAATTTATAAATAATATGAAAAACCGGAAGGCATACAAGTATAGATGGGTAAAATTCAAAAGAAATTGAAAATTTGGCTGCATTAAAATATTCTGATAACAATTTACATCTGGAATTGGAACATTCAGTACAAGCCAACATTATTGTTAATAGACAACAAACAAGGAGATAACCATTCGAATTTAAATGGAGTGATATACATCTTCCGTCCAGCCAGTTGGTTCAAAACCCGAATGCACTGATGTTTCAATCCCACCGTGAAATTATTCAGCTCAAGCTTGTAGCATCGCTCCTGATTCTCGTCCTAGTGATTCTGCACAGCAATCAGATTCTTATTGCAGAGGCTACAGGCTATAAGCCACCACATTTAAGCAAAACCGTCATTATTATTCTTTATTCAGTTGCAGCATCAGAACCGGGTTTGATTTTCTCATACAAGCGGTAAATTAGAGTCGACTTGGACATCTGGGGTTCTTTTTCCAAAACTGCAACCACGTCTTTTAAAGAGATGGCTCTGGCCACCCTAGTTTGAGGCACCACAACTTGGTTTCTTCCCAATTTTCTAACAGCACCTGTCCAAAGAAAGGGGTGAAAAACAAAAACAGCAACTGAGTACAGTAAGAAATATAAAAGATTTCTTCAAAGATGTCCTAGAATCAATTTATTTATTAATTCACCACTCCCTTGACAATTTAAGATGAATGACATTACAAGTGGGATCTGTAGTAATATTTGAAATCATTATTGTTAAATGAGGCCAAAAAAAAAAAAAAAAATTAATTTCTTCCCTTCAGTCTCAAGGTAAGCAAGCATGTGATCATTATGCCACATAACGTAGCATCATCACCACTAAAACACTCTATGTTGCTGGCAGAAGAGTTTTCAACATGAGATGCATTTCGTAGTATACTCTGATGGCAACTTATCCCTTCACATGAAATGATTGTGAAGCATTCTTACTCATTCTATGTGCAAAAGATGCAAGGAAGAATCTGTCATCAGCCAAGAATTGACCTCTTCATGCACAGACTGATTAATTCTTGAATAAGGATCATTCTACAATAATGAGACATAACCTACAGGGAGGATAAGACCACCTTAATCTTATTTGAAGTTTCTTATCCTTATATAATGGTCTAGCAAAACCTGATATCCAGATATTCAGATATGATAAAAACTTCCGTTTTGAATGATAAATAAAATAAAACTAGGATTCACCACCGAATTTAGTTGGAAGCATCAAAAACAATGTGATGCATGTTATCATAGTCAACATGTATACTAATGCAGGAGACTGCTCCAATAAGTATACCACTACAGACAGTCTAATACTTCAGTGGACTTCCATGCATATCAAGCATTGATTTTCTGTTATAAATTATCCAGTCAATACTAGAAGACTTGTATAACCGACATGTTACTATGAACCCACTGTTAGAAACCCAAATTTAAACAGAGACACCAAATAGCAAGCTCAATCTTATACATTCTCTTTTTTTAAGATTCACTGGCGTGAGGGTAACGATTCAACTTACACCAGCAGATTACCAAATAAAACTGTCCAAAAAAGAATGACTAATAATCAATTTATATCACACTTACCAGCAATTGGAGCTCCATGCCCTCTTTTTTCTGTTTCTTGATTATCCTTCAAATTCCTTCCAGATGTTGATAGAGGTTTGCGACTGACATCTTTTCCACCCTGGGAACCAGATGCCACATCCATACCCCCCTCACGTTTCTGGCGAGCTTGCTCAGCCATAAGTTGCCATTTTGACAGCATGTCATCTCCCCCAACAGCAGCACGAGCAGCAACATTTGCAGCTGTGGTTCTCATTTTGTCGTCCTCCTCCTTGTTTGCCTGTAAACATCAGTAAGTTATATAGGACAAGATTTCCTTTATTTGTATGAGTGGTCAATATACACAATGCTTAGAAAAGAAAAATCTTTAGTACCTTAACTGATTTTGAACGACCTTCATCTTTCTCCTTATCGCCCTCAACCCCACCATCACCCTCAGGCTGCATTACAAAAACATTTACATATATAGAACTTCAACCAAAAGAAGATAATATCAAGCATGGATGTGTGCGCATGTCCATGTGTGCAGGTGTATTTCTGAATGCAGCATTTTTAAGTTTGTGTATGATGGATAGTTTATGTACTGCATGCATCATATATAAAAATGCACAAACAGTACTCACTTCATTAAGTTTCCGGAGCTTTTCTGCTTCAGCCTGCTTCTTATCCCATTCTTCCCTAGCTTTGCGGTTCATTATCATAATTTGTTGTCGAACATCTGACGTGATAATAGTCCGGTGTCCAGTTTTCTCAGGATCAACCCGCTACAAAAAATCCAATTAAATCAGAACAACATAATGGCAGTTAATACAAGCCACGAAATTGAAAACAAAAGACTAACCTGTTTTGACAATCTGATTATGTTACATAAGAGTCCACGCATTCTTTCCTCAACACACTAGAGATTCAGTTACATAAGTATACATGTAAACAATGCATTACAAAGAAGGACCAAGTAGCTACCATCTTACCAAAGACAAGCATCGTTCCACATCATTGCTTATATTCTTCAAACCGCATTTGGCCACTGCCATACATGGAAACTAAAGATCAAACTAAGAAACAGGTTGCTTCTGAGAACACAAAGTCCATGCATAGATTGAACTACAGAACATCTACTTAACTAGAAATGTCAATACCCTGGGCTTGCCTGAATTAGGCCTGGGCCCAGAAAGTCCGGGTTTTTAACACCCCGACAGATCTACTCATTCCCTACCTGGCCCTACAGATGCGAAAAAGCCCAGGTAGGAAAGTCTCAAATCTCAATTGCTAAAAAAATTCAAATGCAAAAGAGTGAACAAATTGATACTCAAATAAAGTCATTTTTTTTATGTAAAAGAGGTTGAGAAATTAGTGGTTAGGATTTGTTTTATGTAAAAGGAGGGTGAGATTTGAGAAAAAAAACTTTAAGCAAATCACATTTTTAGAGAGTCTGGAAAGCTAATATATTGCACATGTTATAAAGGAAAAAATTCTACTCTCCTCAAGCTGCCGAAAGTTGTTAGTGGTGAACTGATTTTTTAAGATAAAACATCATCATGCTTTATCTATTAGTCCCCTTGAACTACCATTACATTAGCATGGGAAACTACTGGCAGAGTTGCACATGAATTTAAACACTTTCAAAACTTATTCATGTTATTCTCAAGACATACCCTGAAAAAGACAAAAAGACAAAAAACTTTTATGAGATTTATATTCCCTATTTTTTGGACAATAATGAAGATTTGGTATATGAAAGATGGATGAACAGATAAAGATTTCAGTATGTTTACATAGATAATGTTAGACTAGACTGACAAATTACTGTATTTAATATTAGCGAAAGTCTTTTTTTTTTGGGTAGTTTGTAAATTGGTCACATCAATGATTAATTTGTGTATGAATAAAATTGCAGAAATATAGAAACTTATTGTCAGTGAAATTGCAGTAGCATTTTGCATTACTGCAAGATACTGTGTGAGCACATTGGGCAAGGTAAGCAACAGTGAG